ACATCTCTGAGTCTATTTATATACCTAGAGATATGTGAAGTTCGGAAAACCAGTGTGAAACATCCAATTATGCTCAAGTTCTGGAATCATTCAAAATATTAATTTAGTATGTACAAAAGCTAACAGATAGAAGAAAGACAAAGAAAATTAAATATTTAAATTGGATGCTTATAAATTAGATGACTAATTAATAAACTTAATTGTGTCAGGCCGAAACTAATGCAAAATAATTTTGGAATATATCATTGATGATTTGATATCAGATTTATTATTAGAAAGAATCTAGAAGAAAAATACTAAATACGACTAGTAGTAATTAGATTTGAGATCTTGCTAATATGCTGGCAATGAAAAAGCTGTAGTTTATATATGAGACTAGATTTTAACCCGCGGTACACCGCGGGATGATTTAATTTTAAAGTTAGTATAAAAATATTTTGTAAATTGTATCTCCTTATAACATATTTATTTATATTATAGTTTACAATTGTTATTAAGTAACGGTATACCACGAGTCCACGAGATAATTATTAATAAACTGAGGATTTAACCCGTATTAAAGCGGTATATAAATATTGATTCAAATTCGTCCGCCATATAAATCATTTCCGAAATATAACCCGTTCCGTAATTTCTTAATTCGTCCTGTGATTTGTATTAAAAAAAAAAAGGATTAAATCCGTATTGAAGCGGCGGATTAATGATATTTTAATCTTTTTATTATTGTTGATTCAAAAACCCGTCCCGCCAAATCCATCCCGCCAAAAAACTCATTTATTTTATTAATGTTCTTATTTATGATATGATTCTGAATCATTGTCTAAATATTTTAATCGATGTAGAACGTTGAACACACATTTTCGTTAATTGGATAATATATGTCCGTTTTCAAAATTTCGAATCACAGTATATGCAGAAAAAAATTGATTTTTTTTTTTACTTTATGTATTATATGATGATTCAAAACAGTTAAAAACAAATCAAACAAAGATGATAGGAGAATCATAATTATAAATCTTAATCAAATCTTCTAAAAATCTAAATTATTAAATATGGAATATCCGGTGTATGAGTTGGGTTAAATATAACCCGACCCAACAAATTTTTTGTGAAGGAATTTTTAAAATGGGTCGGATATCCGATATACCCGAAAGCTTTTTTACCCATCCGTCACAAAAAATGCTGCGATTATACTAATATAGATATATCTATAATTAATTACCGGATTCCCCATCACCCTCATTCGATCTCTCAAATTTAAAAAGGACTGAGGTAGATACTTAAATATTACCGTACAAAACACGATAAAATATTAGCATTTTCTTTCTCTGATACTCGAGGTTTTATGTACTTTCATGATGTTGTCCAAAAGAAAAATTTGTACTTTCACGAAGGCGCTAATTTTCAAAATGCTCAGTGTATCATCAAAAATACTTGTTTTAAACTTCTAATGGTTGTTGTATGTTGGGCGTTAACATCTCTAGATTTAAGTGATCTTAGAAAATGGATAGTTTCTTTGGCGGATCAAGACAAATATTTTAGGTAGACAATTATCAAACAATAGTTTTAACAACTCTATACATTGTTTCTCCATATGTAAAATGGTGGTGGTGATGGTCTGGCAAGTTTCCGAATTCTAGAAGAAACACGACTTAGTCGGTATATAGTCTTCTCTTAATTTTTAAATAGAGTAGACTTATGTAAATCTCGCTAAGCAAATCTTTTAAGATCGAATCATATATATAGCCTTTCAATCATTCCTGATTAGAAAAAAATAGTGTTAATAAAGTAATTGTATCATCAAATATAAAAATGGAAAACACAGCTCAACCAAACCTTTTCCTTGTTGTTCAAAACGATTCATATCAATGCACAACTAACATTATAAAATTTCAGGTTATTGTTTTACTTGAAAATCTTTTTGGGCTATTTATTGCATGTTAGTTGTGATGAAGCCCATTTGAGTTCAATCCAATGCTTTAAATACTTGCTACGTCTCCTTTGCTTAAATTGTTAAAAAGGCTTTCGTTGGCATTTCCCACATTTTGGAGAACGTGAACTATTTGAGAAAATAATGTTTAAGATAGTTTGGTACTTAGAGCATGGTCATAGGTGATACTAACAAAATATTATTAACAATTTTTTAGTATTATTTATAATGTTTGTTTATTGTTTGAGATTTTTTATGATACTCTACTAAATATGTTTTCATTAGTGAGACCGGTTTAAGTATCATAAAAAAAAATAAATATATTTGCAAAATCAAAAAATATATATAAAAACTTATGATTATAAAAGGTAATATTGGGGATGTGCCTTTAGTCAAGTGGTTAAGTCCATTTGACTCCGTTTTTTCCACCGGAGTTCGACTCCGCTAAGTCGCGTTACCCCGCGTAGTAGGGATTGGCTATGGATCGGGCCTTGTCGATCCAAAGATGTCAAAAAAAAAAAAAAAAAAAAGTAATATTACAATAAAAAAAAACATAGAATATCCTTAAGCAAATAAAAACATAAAATTCAAAAAAACTTAAAAATACATGATAAAAATAATTTAGTGTTTCTCCTTCTTTCCTTGTTTCTCTTCTAGCAAGCAAATGATCCAGTTAATTATTTACGAGTAATTAGGGAATGAAGTTTAGGGGTGATACCACTGAGAAGGCATGGGATTAGGTAAAACAAAAACATAAGAGAATTGAGCATTACTTTGAAAGACTGCAAGTCTGAAAGTTTCTGAATTGTTCCATGCTCAACAAAGCACGAATCTGAGAACACGATATTGCTGACTCCAACATTGTTGGGGCAAGCTTCTTTAAGTCCTGATAGCAACAAATTCTCCATCCTTTCTTCCTCTGACGCAGCAATATATGGGAATGCCAATGAGAAGTTGGAAGCTGTAAACAGATTCTGTTGAAACGACGACTTGGATGTTAGAGTATTGTGAAGTTTAAAGCAAAAAACTATGTCAGAGATCTGTGTTATGAATGGAATATCAGAATTCCATGATGAAGAAATGATAAAGTGCACTTACACTCAATGTGTTAACAAGGGCAGAATCCGAGTTCCTTTTAGAAGAAACATCAGAAGACAGTAACTGCAGGCGGAAAAGAACGTGTATATTAGAATTCTCAACATAGCACAGAAGGTACAGAGCAAAGACGATTTCCGGCAATATTAAAAACATCAGTTTCTTCACAATATCACAACAAGAAACCAACGATCCAAATGGTGATTTATGCTTAATGTTAAAACGAAGGTACTACAACATTCACTTACCTCTCTGCCTATGAACACAAGTACAACATCAACACGTTGCTCAAGCTTCTTCTCTGAGAACTAAACAAAAGAGACAGTAAAATAACAATAAGAAAAGCCATTTGACATCCAGTGAGTTGTAGAATTGAAAACCATAAGATCTTAAGAAGAAACCATACCAGAAAGTTTGACCAACCTCCTTGAGTGAAAACAGAACCTACTAGATCCTTTGCAGACATGACCTGATAATTTACAACCTCATCCTATAAGCATTGAACTTGTTATCAAGAGTACCCACTCGTTTCCAACAGAAACCTGCAAAATATCACATGAATCACTAAGTAATCACATCCTCAATCACATTAAAGACAACCATATATATTTAGCTACGACTTTTGCATAGACCAAGAAATTCAAATGCTTGACTTTTCCAGTTTTGGCAAGACTTCAATCACAGATATATGTGGCATTGCCTCACACTATAAATTTACTACAATAAGAACTCATGATGGTTACAGATATATATAACGCCTATTTGCTTTACAATTACCAGCTGTGATACATTTCATATCAAGTTAAACGATATTCCCAAACCAAAGAACAAAGAGACCTTAAACGTTCATGAGACAAACAAACTAAACAAATTATTCCATCAGCTATATCAGAACGAGCAACATATACTCCCTCCGTTTTCGAATAGTTGTCGTTTTAGAGTTTTTTATTTATTTTAAATTAGTTGTCGTTTTAAGGTAATAATATAATTTATGCCAATAACTACCCAAATTACCCTCATTTTATTGAACACAAATTATTTGTAAATAATTACTTGTCATTTTTATGAGGTTAATATAGTCATTGTATATATTTTCTTAATTTGTCCAAATACAGTTAAAACGACAACTTTTAAAAAACAGAGGGAGTATATAAAGAAGCAAGCTTTCAAATCCAAATTCGTTATGTAACAGAGAAAGACAGAGACCAAAGCATCTAAGGTAAAAGGAAACCAAAGTTCATACCGTTCTTCAAATCAAAATCAAATCAGAGAAAGACAGAGACCAGAAAATCAAATGGAGAGGTGAAATGGATCGAAGAAGAATCGGCGAAGGAGAGATGGGATCGAATCTATACAGAAGAAATGGATCGAAGAAGAAATCGCGGAGGATAGTAGGGATCGAAGAAGAATCGGCAGAGTTTCCAGAAATGATTTTTTTTTATCTGTTTTGCAAAAAAAAAAAAAAAATCGCGGGTCCAATGGAAAACTGACACGTCACACGATACTGAGTATCACAAGTATTAGTGGACTGATACGTATCAGGCCCATTTAAGTGGTTTGGTCCATTATAAAATCATTTTTGGGTTAATGATACTGAGAAAAATTCACCGGTGTACATGGTCTTATCACTATCTTTCAGTTTCTTAATCACCTGATCGTAGCCATGAATGCATGCAGCGTAATTAGGTATGTGAAAATTGAAAATAAGTCCGTGAATAGGATTTGAACCGATCTTTATATATACATACTGCATTATTATCAATTTATCATAGAAGAAAAATAGCTCTTGACTCCACTTTGGATATTGCAACATACATATGTCTATGAGTAGTTATAGCCTCAAGCATAGAATCACCACACTGAGTAATTTGAAGATTTTTTTTCGAGGTTCATGCTAAATAGTGAAATGAGATGTGATTAATTTGATTTTAAATGAAGCATAATAATCAAATTTAGTGGATTAGAGAGTCTCATTTAAGCACCAATTACTAGGAAAGTTGTGTCATTAATGATTTGAAGAAAAAGAGACAAGCCATGGTGTGACCTAACTGGGAACAAGCCATACGGTGTGACATTGTTGATAAAACCAAAGTCTTAATTATGCTGTTTTGAAGAAAAAGAAAAAACAAACCATAAATAGGGAACGTTATAGATAGTCTGAAACAAGACCTGTAGTCTAAACGTTTCAAAACAACTTCTTCAAGACAGCATTTTCGGCTTCTACCTGGGATTTCTCAACTTCTTCTGTGATAAGAACTTGGGTCAAACCAGTTGTGGCCTTAACTTTGGATATGGCAAGAAACCTTTGTCCAGGAGGGGACAGTACTTGTTTTGGTAGATATAGACCAACTTTGGAAAATGCTTGGCCTCGAATCTGATCTACAGTCATGGCGAATGCAAGTGTGAAAGGATACTGGGTACGCCGCATTGGGGTAACAAAATCTTTCCCAGAGAACATGTGTATCTTAGGGATCAACTCAAGTTCGGGGAGGATGACCAGGTTGTGTTGTTGCAAATCTAGCCTCAAGCATAGTATCACCAAACTGAACAATTTGAAGTCTAGTCCCAGTACATAACCCACGGCTAGGATCAACGTCAGCAAGTAACATGACGGGAGCACCAACCTTGAGTCTCAAAATCTGTTTAGGCACTCCGGGGGCTGTGATGCTACCAAAAATACATGGAGGTAATAACATGTAATGGCCTGGCCTTGAGTTATCCTTAAGGCTCGGAACAAGATAGTCATCGCTGTGAGATAATATATCTTCACCTTTATGTGATGATATGAAAGGAAGTCGTAGTTAGTATGTGCAGAAAATGGAGGCTATAGTTTGGAAAGCGATGCGTAATTAGTATATATAAAAACCGGATTTTACCTGGTAATTGTGAAAGCATATAGTCATTAATCAGATCCACATCAGATTGAGTATGACACAAAATAACCGTGTCGCGGCAATAGGAATAGTAGGAGGACTGTTCACGAAAAGAGTCTCCATAAACTTGGCTCACTATTTCTTCCATAGGATCATGGCACTCAATTGACGACGCATTTTCAGGGATATCAATATCAGCGTGATCATCTCCATCATTGATCTTTTCATCATTAATATCCTTAATCCATTCAGAGAAAGCTTTATCCATTGTTATGTGAATTCTTGATGATTCCTATAATTCAATAAACAAAACAAAGAAAATAATAAATATAATTTTTCTAGTCAACAAACTTGTTCGGCTGTCTAGAAAGAACGAAAATCAGCGTGAATATTGCATCATAATCAGATATCAACTGCCAGATGACTTATTGTAATCAAGCAAACCTTGAGTCATATGACCAATCGATTACTAATTGTATCATGTATCAAAAGTGCAAATCAGTCTGCTATATATAAATTACGAAAGACACGTTACTACAGGTACTCCGTAACCAACAAATAAAATAAAAAATGATAAAGCGTATATAGATAGTTGTGATCAAACCATACCGATGATTCGAGTAAAACCATATCGATCGAGTTTGCGGCTCTTTTCCTCAATCCCTCCTTCCATATCCTCATTAGCTTCACTTTGATCTTCCATGGCTTATTCTCATTGAGAGGAGCAGAAGAAGAGGAGGGTTTGGTAACTAAGGCCATTATTATCTCTCAGATCTAACAGAGGTAAGAGAGAAGTAGAGGCTATATTTTTGGTGACAAAAGGGTTTAGATCTGTGACTGCAGAATAGGGACGCTCCGTTGACAAGTTTGTTTTTATAGCTAGGGCTGAGAGTTTGGACGAAGTTTAAATGGGTTTCGTTGGCTTGGTTTAGCTAAACTAAGTTGTTTAATTAGGTTAAAAAATGTCCTTTATACCTTTTTATCTTTTAAAAAGACAAGTCATTTTTACCAATAAAATGTGATCAAAACATTTAGGTCAAAGGTTTGTCTGATCGTTTTGAAAAGAAAAAAAGACAACAGGCCAGACGAAAAAACAAACTATAATAGAGAAAATGTAAAACATGATAGTCTGAACTAAACCAGTAGAAAAATCATGAAAAAAAATCAAAATTAATCAGTTTGCAGCTAGCCTGAAAAACAAAATAAAAAAAACCAGTCTGACACATGTTGACGACTAAATGTTCTGAAACAACTCCTTGAACACAACATTCTTGGTTTCTTCCTGTGGTTTCCCATCTTTATCTGTGATAAGAACTTTCAAACCAGCTCTGGACTTCACTTTGGATATCGCAACAAACATCTGTCGTCCATTAGAGAACACTCGTCTTGGTAGATATAGACCAACTTTTGAAAGTGTTTGCCCCTGAGCTTCATCTATAGTCATCGCGAACGCAAGTTTCAAAGGATATTGCGTACGCCGCATTTTGATATGAAAATTTGCTTCTGTGGGGTATGAAGGTATCCTAGTAATCAAGACTTTCTCACCATGCATATTACCTGTTATAATCATAGCTTCAAGCACAAACCCACCCAGCCGAGTAATTTGAAGTCTTAATTGTCCCCTTAAATAACCCTCGGCTAGGATCAAGGTCCCTAAGTAACATGACGGGAGCACCAACCTTTAACCTCAACTTAAAATCAGGCAATCCGGGGGCTTTGATACTATTCAAAACTTCTAGAGGGACAAACATGTCGTCATTTGGGCTTGAATGCGATGGAGAAATACTGTCAGCGCTGTAACATTCTTTCTCTTCACCTGATTGATATGATATAATGATCGTCGTAGTTAGTATGTGCATATTTAAAATGGATACAAGTATAAAGGAGAAAAGCATTACCTGGTAGTAGTGAAATAAGCATATAATCATTAATCTGATCCACATCGCAATCACTACGACACAAAATAGCCCTCTCTTGATAAAAATCAGGATTATAGGATTGTGCAAAAGATTCTCCATAAACTTCCTTCACCATAGTTTTGATAGGATCTTTGCATTCAGTTATCAACAAATCTTCAGAAATTTCAAATTCAGTTTCTCCATTATTTTGCTTGTTGATATTTCCATCACCAATATCCGAAATCCATTTAGAAAAAGCTTCATCTATAGTTGTGTGAATTCTTGTCCCCTGGAAGACAATTAACAAAACATTATTATATATAGAAATAATTAAAATACTAAAAGTATTTATTTCTACATGTAAAAAGCACAACATGAGCAATGAGTAAACAAAAACGTATGCAAATCATTATGATATATGAATATAATGATTTTTTTTTTTACAGGTGAAAACACGAAATTCTATCGGGTGTTTAGCCATAAACTCAAATTAAATCATTATAAATAAGTAAAATAACGATATTATTGCATCTTCATATATCAGATCAGCATCTAGAAAATTTCTCAACTAAAAAACGAGTCATGTGTAATCATACAAGCCTTACAGAACCTAAAGTCATGCATGAATAATCGATTATTATGTATCAAAGTGGAGATCGTTCTGATAAATATATAACTATTACAAAAGATACATTAAGGTATAATTCAGATAAAGCCATACCGATGAATCGAGTAAAACCATGTCGACGGAGTTGCCTGATTCTTTGTTATCACCCTTCCACGTTCTAACAATCTGCACTTTGATCTTCCATGGTTTGATCTCATCGAGAGAAGCAGAAGAGTTTTTGCGAACCAGGGCCATTATTGTAGCGGTCTGCGAATAGTTTTCTTTTTTTTTTTTTGTTATGAATTTGGCTAAATACGAAAGCTTGTGTAGCTTTTATAACCGTATAAAATCACGATCTAAACTGTAACGGAAGTTTGTCAGTTTAATTAGGATTTCCTTTTTTTGTATATTATTTCCTTAATTTCAAAAGGAAATTCTAATTAATTGTTTAAACTTTTAAAGTAACGGAAATCTTTTTCTCTCATCCCCCGTTAACTGAGATTTTTGATGTACTGGATGATTTTAGTTGCTCTAAGCTTCAGTTTTAGTAGTTTCAACCCTAAAAACAATGGGTCGTCGCATATTGCCGTTTGCTGACAATTCAATCATTGTCCCTGACTTATAATTTGTGGTTTAATAGAAATATGCTCATCCACGTCATGGTAAGTAATGTTAATATGAATGTGCATATCAACAGAAAACAAGAGCTGATGTGAAAATACAGTGTTTGTGATATACTGATATATAAAACTTCAGAGAATAAATCATCTATTGTTTTAGCCTTTTAGGTATGGACTTCTGTCATAAATTTTAAACAAAAGTCTGATCCAGTTTTGAAAAAATAAACAGGCCCAGACGAAAAAACAAACTATAACTAAAATAGAGCAGAATGTAAAACATTATAGTCTGAAACAGCCTATACCATTAGAAACACCATGAAAATCAAAATTATGTAAAACAGTAAAAGCAATTAGTTTGCAGCCTGAAAAAAAGATTTTAAAAAAAAACAAAAACAGTCTAACACATGTTGACTAAATTGTTCTGATAAATGTTCTGAGACAACTCCTTGAACACAACAGTTTCCACTTCTTCCTGAGGTTTCCCATCTTTACCTGTGATAAGAACTTTCAAACCAGCTCTGGACTTCACTTTGGATATTGCAACATACATCTGTCCATGAGAGAACACTCGTCTTGGTAAATATATATCAACTTTGGAAAGTGTTTGGCCTTGACTTTCATCTATAGTCATTGCAAATGCAAGCTTCAAAGGAAACTGCCTACGCCGCATTTTGATAGGAAAATTTGCTTCTGTAGGGTGTGAAGGAATCCTAGGGATCAAGACTGGGTGTGAAGGAATCCTAGGGATCAAGACTTTCTCACCATGCTGATTACCTGTTATAATCATAGCCTCAAGCACAAAAGTCTCCACCCGAGTAATTTGAAGTCGTGTCCCCTTACATAACCCACCGTAAGGAGCAAGGTCCCTAAGTAATATGACAGGAGCACCAACCTTTAATCTTAACTTAAAATCAGGCAATCCGGGGACTTTGATGCTATTCAAAAATTCTAGAGTGTATAACATGTCGCCATTTGGGCTTGCATACGATGGATAAATAGTGTCAGCACTGTAACATTCTTCTGTCTCTTCACCTGATATGATATAAAGAAGTCTTAGTTAGTATGTGCAAAAGATGGCTATAGGTGGAAAGAGAATCATTACCAGGTAATTGTGAAAGCATGTAATCATTAATCTGATCCACAATGTCACTTGTATGACATAAAATAGCCCTCTCTTGATAAAAATCAGGATTATAGGACTGTGCAAATGATTCTCCATAAACTTCCTTCACTATAGTTTTGATTGGATCTTTGCGCTCAGTTATCAACAAATCGTCAGAAATTTGAATTTCGGTTTCTCCATTATTTGGCTTGTTGATATTTTCACCACCAATATCCGAAATCCATTCAGAAAAAGCTTCACCTATAGTTGTGTGTATACTTGTCCCCTGGAATTCAATCAACAAAACGTTAAAATACTGGAATAATAAGTAAACAAAAACGTATGCAAATCATTATAATATATGAATATAATGATTTATATTCCTTTTCACATGTAAAATCACAAAATTCTGTAGGGTGTTTAGCCAGAAACTCAAATTAAATCATTAATATAAGTAAGAAAACGAGATTATTGCATCTAAATATATCAGATCAAGCATCTAGATGATTGACTCAACTAAAAGTCTAAAACACGTACGAGTCATGTGTGTAATCAAACAAACCTAATTACAGAACTTGACTCATGCATGAATAATCGATTACTATTTATCAAAGTGCAAATCATTCTGGTAAATATATATACTATTACAAAAGATACATGTTAAAGGTATATAATTCAGACAAAGCCATACCGATGAATCGAGTAAAACCATGTCGATGGAGTTGCCTGATTCTTTGTTATTTCCCTTGCACGTTCTAACAATCTGCACTTTGATCTTCCATCGTTTGATCTCATCGAGAGAAGCAGAAGAGGAGTCTTTACGAATTAGGGCCATTAATTATTGTAGCGGTATGTGAATGAGTTTTTTTTTTCTTTTCAAATTATGAATTTGGCTAAATACGAAATGATATTCTTACTCTTACGGAAGTTTTAAGTATCAGTTTAATTAGGATTTCCTTTTCTTATTCTTCCCCTTAATTACAAAAGGAAATTCTAATTAATTGTTTAAACTTTAAAGTAACGGAGATCTTTTTCTCTCATCCCCCGGCCGGTAACTGAAAGATTTTTTATCTACTCTAATTTAATTTAAGAACATTATAATTAAGATAGATTGTAAGAAAATATATTTACTATATATATCTTTCCGTATTTGATTTTTTTAAACAGATTATTTCCTTAACTGATATACTGGATGCGGGAGAAAAAACACTGGATGATTTGAGTCGGATTTTTTCTTCAAAACTAAACCTTTTAGATCCTTTAGAAGCTTCAATTTTAAATAGATGGTAGGAGCATCAAATACGAAATCAACCCATTAGAAAATGGGTCGCATTGCGTATGCAGACAATTCGTGGGCCAAAATATAGAAAGCCTTGGAAGCCGGAAGTGTCAAATTTGGAGTTGGTTATTTCTGGAGGCCAGGGTGTTTATACGCATCGCTGACATCAGGGCACTAAAAGGGATTTAAATTACACGTAACATACAATGACAGGGATCGCCACTTTTCGTGGTCCATCTTTAAGCCAATATCAATTATTATAGTCCAACTAAATTATTAGTATTAAACAAATCTCACCTAATTCCCAACACATACCTGCTTTACTTCCCCAGTCTCAAGCCTACATATAAGCTTACTAGTCGATACATTATCGTTAGAAAATCGATTTTTTTGTCCCTAATCTTAAAACATCGTTTTGATACTATCTTACTAACAACAAATCAAAATCAATTGGCGAGAAGTAGAGAAACGCATATCCTTTATATATGATGCCCTAATACAATCCATTTTCCAATATGTTAAACTAAATGTACATATATCTTATTTTTTACAAACAAAAAGGAAATAATTCCTATACTAAGATTTTTGGTCTACTCTATGAAAGAAACTACATTGTGTGTCATGAAAATTAGAATGCAGAGCAGAAACCCCACATGGATAGCCTGTGGAAGACCAAGCGTGCAACATCTTCTGTTCTCTTGCTCTGTTATTATAAACTTTTTTAAGTAACTATACAAATAAGTGGAAAGACTGATCATACTAATATGTGTCTCTTCGGAAATCATTTTCAAGTAAATATATATATATATACCAAATATAGGAAAGAAAGAAGTTTAGGATAATAAGAACAATTCACAAACAACAAAACAAAGGCAACATGAAAGCAGAAACCTTTTCCTTGCAAAAGTGTATAGAAAAACACATCCTAACCAAACTTTCCCTTCTTTTCTTTTTCTTATCATCTTTCCTCTTTTCTTCAGAAGAGCAACAGCCGCAGAAGCATATCATGATCATGATGATGAAGTTCTATACGTTCACTTTCTTAATCTGCTTGTTCTCGAAGCTCCAAGGTCACTGCAAATCAGATATCAGCCTTGGTAATTCCCTGACGCTCACTTCTCCTCTAGAATACACTCCCGGGTTTATGGGGAAAGCTTATATAATGGAGACAGAATCATCGTCAACAAGAGAACCCGGTTTCAAAGCCGCGTTAACGATGGAATCAAGTGACAAAGATGATGGACGATATTTGTGTTCCCTTCAAATTTTCCTTGGAGATGTAAGAGTATGGAGCTCAGGGCATTACTCGAAGATGTACGTTTCTAGCAAATGCATCATTGAGCTTACAAAAGATGGAGACTTGAGGCTAAAGAGTAGCAATAAACACGTTGGATGGAGAAGTGGAACCTCAGGACAAGGCGTGGAGGTATAAAATTTGATTGGTTTGAAGAAAAACGTAATTTCTAATGACAGAAACATGTAAAAGAATTGTTGTTTTGGAAACAAAAATTTGCAGAGGTTGGAGATACAAAGCACAGGGAATCTAGTGTTGGTTGATGCTAAGAATTTGATCAAATGGCAAAGTTTCAATTTCCCAACAGATGTGATGTTGAGTGGTCAGAAACTAGACGTGGCGACGCAACTAACTTCATTCCCAAATGACTCGACTTTGTTCTATTCATTTGAAATTTTACGCGACAAGATTGCTCTGTTCCTAAATTTGAACAAGCTCAAGTACTCCTACTGGGAATACGAGCCTATAGAGAAGAACACAACGGTCAACTTCGTGAGGTTAGGGTTAAAGGGTCTTGACCTATTCGACGATAACAGCCACATAATCGGAAGAATCGAGCAACCGTTGATCAGATTCTTGGCGCTTGGGAACAGAACCGGTAATTTAGGACTCTACTCGTATAAACCGGAAAAGGGAAAGTTCGAGGCAACGTTTCAAGCTGTAAGCGACACTTGTGATCTTCCTGTAGCGTGTAAACCATATGGAATCTGTACATTCTCAAAGTCTTGTTCTTGCATTAAGGTTGTGAGCAATGGAGATTGTAGCAGCATCAACGTGGAAGAAGCGGTTTCGGTGAAGAGGTTATGCGACCACGAGATGGTTGAGCTAAAAGGAGTTACTACAGTGCTAAGAAACGGGACACAAGTGAGAAACATCAGCAAAGAAAGATGTGAAGAGTTGTGTAAGAAAGATTGTGAGTGTGGAGCTGCGAGTTACTCTGTTTCTGATGAGAGTTGTGTCATGTATGGGATTGTGATGGGTGTTAAACAGATTGAGAGAGTGAGTGGATTGAGTTATATGGTTAAGATTCCTAAAGGAGTGAGATTAAGTGATGAGAAACCGAATGTTAGAAAATGGGTTGTGGGATTAGTTGGAGGGATTGATGGTTTTGTGATTTTGTTGCTTCTTTCTGGATTTGCTATTTATTTCATTCGGAAGCGACGGAAAAGCTTGTCACTGCCGCCACCTCCACCGCTACCGCAGCAGCCGGCCAATACAGATTCTTGATAGTTTTGTTTTTGGAGATTTCAGATTAATTTGTGTCTTACATGTAAACATTGATACCGTTTTTATAGTGAAAACATTGATACCGTATTGATATGATTTATGAGGATCTTTCTAGTTTCTAGTTAATATTAATATGACATATAAGTCAAAACTCAATTATTTCATCTAAAAAGGAAGGAAAAAACAGTGTTTTTCCACATTTCTACTGGTAGGTTAGGTATGGATTTATAAAATTTAGGGATCATGAATATTGAATACTAATTTTTTTCTTCATTGTCGAATTGTACGCACTAGTCGCAACGCGCAGACCAACGCCTCTTTTTTTTTTTTTTTTTTTTTTTTTTTTTTTTTTTTTTTTTTTTTTTTTTTTTTTTTTACTTTTAACGTCCAACGGTTAGCTGAAAAAGTGCTATTTAAAAACTGAGAATTTTATTATGTGGCCCTGCTTTATGACCGTTAGTGATCCCCACCACAAACTCCATCATTGACGCAGCCAACTCCGGCACAACTCCCTCTATCATCCAACGGTCCAAATACTCTTTCACTTTTCTTTATTTCTTTCTCTTTTCTCCAACTAAAGTTCTAATTCTAATCACATTTGATATTTGCACAAAAAAAAAAAAAAAAAAAAAATCACATTTGATATTATTAGCATTAAGGGACTAATAAACATATAAAAATTTATGATTCTTGACAGAAAAGGTTGATAACATTTAACTATTAATTGGAGCACACAAAAAAAACATTTAACTATTAAATCTTTATATAAGTTAGAAGACAATTCAGAAAACAACTAGTATAATATTTACTAAGTTCACACTTTTTTTATCAAATCCAACGGTCCAAAGATTCGTGTACTAATCCACTTCGGATATTAAAATTGGATTAGAAAAAGTGTGTAAACTTTAAATAGAGACAAAACTAAAAACTGAGAAGAAAACGGATACTTGTAGCTTTTATTTAACTTTAATTATCCCCTTCATTACAAAAAGACCGTTACGATATATATAAAAGTCTTCGTTCACACACAGTATCGAAGAAAACAACAACAGTTTTGATCACTCTCTCTCTTTACTTCTTCTTCCCAAGCTTTTGATGGCCGAAACCCTAGAACCCTCCCTCGTCGGGGAAATCGACACTTCTGCACCATTCGAGTCCGTGAGAGAAGCCGCCACTCGCTTTGGCGGATTTGGTTTCTGGAAACCTTCTTCCCTTAACATCTCTGAAGCTTCTCAGGTCTTAGTTCTCTCTTTCTCCCTCAAAGTCTCTGTTTTCTTCTCATTGATTTTGTCCAGCTCTTTGCTTTTAGGGTTTCTAATTGAAATGGGTCATTAGATTCATCAATTTTTAGAAAGTTCTTGTCTTTAGTTGTTTCTTCTGATGCGAAAGTTTGAATTTTTTTATGGTTGCAGAACGAAGTGGATGACGTAGCTGGTATGGTGGCGAAAGCGAGTGAGTTAGAGAAGGAACTGATTGCTAAAGAAGGAGAAACTTTAAAGGTGTTGAAGTCACTCGAGTCCACCAAAGCGATCGTTGAAGAGCTTAAATCAAAGCTACAGAACAAGGAAGAGAAAGAAAACTGTGACATGAATGTTTTCAAGGAATTGAATCAAGCGAAGATGAATCTGTGCAAGACAACTAAAGATTTGGCAGCTATTCGTGAGTCTGTTGAGTTACTGAACAAGAGACTGGAAGAGGAAAGAGCTGCACTTGAGAAGACACGAGAGAGACTTAACTCTGAGAATGCAGCTGAAATGTCCAAGGAGATTCAGAGACTAAGTTATGAAGCTAAGGAGTTTAGTAGAACAGGAGAGAATGCTCGTTATGCGGTTGATAAAGCTGTGGTTGAGATTGAACAAACGAGAAACAAGATTGAAGCTGCTGAGATGCGTTTGATCGCTGCTAGAAAGATGAAGGAAGCTGCTAGAGCGGCTGAAGCAGTTGCAATCGCTGAAATCAAGGCGGTTACTAGAAGAGGAAGAAGAAGAAGAAGAAGAGGAAATGATGAGGAGACGATGCATGAGGAGATTCTTGAGACGATTCAAGAAACAGCTAGAGAAATCAGAAGCAGTAGGAGGACACTTGAAGAAGGTTTGGAGAAAGTGAATATCACGAAAATGGAAGCAGAAGAAGGAAAATGGCGGTGGACAGAACAGAGGAGGAGATCATCATGTTCGGCCAAGTTCAAGAACCCTTTTATGATGGATGTAAATGGTCTTAATATGATGATGAATGGTGATGGGACCTCGTCCTCAGTTGCTGTCTTGAAACCAACAATGTCGATTGGGCAGATACTCAGTAGGAAACTACTTCTTGCGGATGAGTCGGCGATGATGATGAACGGGAGAGTTTCGTTGGGTCAGATTCTTGGAAAGACTAACTTTGGAGATAGAAATGGTCAAGGGAAGGAGAAGGAAAAAAGGTTGAATGGGAAGAGGAAGCGGTTTGGATTCGCAAACTTGTCTGTGATGCTGAATAAAGAGAGTAAGAAGAAGAATAAGAAGAAGAAGATAGCTTTGAACTTAATGTGATGAGTGAGTGAGTGATTGGAATGGTCTTATCTTTATCTTTTTTTCTTAGGAGTTGTTAGGTGTTTTCCTGCAGTTGTAAGCAATTGTGTTTCTATTTGTTTTCAAATTAAGTGGATTAGAGAGTCTCACTTTAGCACCAATTACTACCAAAGTTGTTGTGTCATGAATGATTTTGAGAAGATAAAACAAACATATGAAATCTTTGAGATGGACTTGTTCTTGCAGGAAGCTAGCAATGTTTCTGTAGCAGATTAGGTGTTTTAGTGTTGGCTCTTTGTTGGGTGATGTGTTAAAAACTGTAATAGAAAAAACCAAAGTCTTAATTATGCTGTTTTGAAGAAAAAGAAAAAACAAACCAATAAATAGGGAACGTTATAAATAGTCTGAAACAAGACCTGTAGACTAAAACAACTTCTTCAAGAAAACATTTTCGGCTTCTACGTGGGGTTTCTCACCTTCTTCTGTGATAAGAACTTGGGTCAAACCAGTTGCGGCCTTAACTTTGGATATGGCAAGAAACCTTTGTCCAGGAGGGGACAGTACTTGTTTTGGTAGATATAGACCAACTTTGGAAAATGTTTGGCCTCGACTCTGATCTATAGTCATGGCGAATGCAAGTGTGAAAGGATACTGGGTACGCCGCATTGGGGTAAAAAAACCTTTCTCAGAGAACATGTGCATCTTTTCGATCAGGAATTCCTGGGGACGAGGACTACGTTGTGATGTTGCAAATCTGGTCACAAGCATAGAATCACCCAACTGAAGAATTTGAAGTCTAGTCCCAGTACTTAACCCACGGCTAGGATCAACGTCAGCAAGTAACATGATGGGAGCACCAACCTTGAGTCTCAAAATCTGGTTAGGCACTCCGGGGACTGTGACGCTACTAAACATACTTGAAATTATTAACATGTAATCGACTGGGCTTGGGGTATCCTCATCCTCCGGAACTAGGCAGTCATCGCAGTGAGATAATATCTCTTTACCTTTATGTGATGATATGAAACCAAGTCGTAGTTATAGTATGTGCAGAAAATGGTGGCTATAGTTTAGAAAAAACCGGATTTTACCTGGTAATTGTGAAAGCATATAGGCATTAATCTGATCCACATCAGATTGAGTATGACACAAAATAACCGTGTCGCGGCAATAGGAATAGTAGGAGGACTGTTCACGAAAAGAGTCTCCATAAACTTGGCTCACTATTGTTACGATAGGATCAGGGCACTCAATTAGCGACGCATTTTCAGGGATATCAATATCAGCGTGATCTCCATCATTAATCTTTTCATCATTAATATCCTTATTCCATTCAGTTTGGACTAGGCCTGGGCACATAATCCAAATCCGAAAAATTCGATCCGAACCGGTTTCGGTTTTTTAGTAAAACTCGTTCGAATTTCATGTAGAATGAGATTCGGGTTTCAATTCGGATCGGATTATAACTGAAATCCAATCGGATATCCACTAAACCAAAACAATACATAAATATTATTAGTTTTATGTCAATTCGGATCGGATACTTCGGATATTTTGAGTTTGATCGGATAAATCATGGGTAATTCCGATATCTTGGATGATTTGGATCGGGTTATTCGGATATTTCGGATTTGATCAAATAATTCGGATCCAAATCCGAACCGAAACCGAATTTATTTATGTTTCGGTTACACTTCGGATTTTCGAAAAAAAATTGTGAACCGATCCGAATGTTGGAAAGACTAACTTTGGAGATAGAAATAGTGAAGGGAAGGAGAAGGAAAAAAGGTTCTATGGGAAGAGAAAGCGGTTCGGATTTGCAAACTTGTCTGTGATGTTGAATAAAGAGAGTAAGAAGAAGAAGATAGCTTTGAACATAATGTGATGAGTTAGTGATTAAAATGGTCTAATCTTTGTCTTATGGTGATCAATTGTGTTTTTCGATGTGCATTGGTTATATGCTAAATATTGAAATGAGATTTGATTTTGTTTTACAAGATTTGTTATATTCTTTATGCTAATTCCAAAGTCCAAACTAATTGCATATTGGAAGATAATAGCCACATGCCGGTGAGATGACGTGGAAGATAATAGCTTGTAGTGTGAAAATACCTCATTGACCTTTCGACAATCCACGCAATCGACTAATTCCACGGATCTGCTTACGCATTGATTCTTGATAACCCTCTTCTTCTTCTCCTACACATACCAGATTCTACCAATCATTTGCTCAAAAAGGTAAAATCTTTCTCTACAATTTCGATTGAATCTTTTTTATTTCGATATATCTCTCGTAAAGAGTCTTACTTGAATCTTCTTTCTGATCTTTTGTTCTTTATCAGGAATCATGGGTCTTAAAGCTGGAACCTTTGTGCTTCTCTTGTTGGGTTTGATCTTGGTTTCTGACGCTAGATCTTTTGTTGACTCCACCCTCTCAGGTAAGAAATTAGACAAAATTTAGTACTCATGCTTGATTGTATAGAAGCTTGCTCTTTAGGGTTAAAGTTTGATACTTTTAATGAAATAGTTTGTTTTTATGGGCTGGAAATGATGAGGTAGTTGTATATTTCAACAACCCAAGTTCTCCTAAAGCTAAAAGAATGGCTCAGACTCAGATAGTCTTATTTTGAGTAGAAGTTTTAAGACTATTCAACTTTTCTTTTGCCTTTGTGTAGAAAAAGTTTCCAACAAGGAAGATGTTTGCACTCTGTGTGAGGAATATGTTACTGATGCTCTCAGCTACCTTGAGAAAAATGTCACACAGGCGGAGATTATTGAGGATCTTCATGATCGGTGTTCCCAATTGCGCGGATTTTCGCAGCAGGTTCTCTCATTCTGCTGATGCTGAACCTTACACTTGGACTGTTTGTTTTGTTATATCAACTGTGTTGAATAAATAGTATGTTTTTTATTTGATGCAGTGCATAACTTTGGTTGATTACTATGTTCCTCTCTTCTTCTTACAACTGGAGTCGTTTCAACCTCACTATTTCTGCAAGAGGATGAATCTTTGTGGCAAAGTTGTAGCTCTTGTCGAAGAAGTCCGTCAGGACAGTTGCGGTGTATGCCACAGGACTGTTTCAGAGATTCTCATCAAACTACAAGATCCCGATACACAGGTTAGTAGTAACTACAAGATGATGACTTTATGTCTTCTATCACAGGTTTTATTTTGTCATTTATGCATTCTGTGTTATAGACTCATAGCACTCTGATTAAGTCATAACGTAAGAGTACCCACTATCACAGTGCAAGCTGCTATGCCCTCGTGTAGTCGTGTTTGTGTTGTTATTACGTTCTAAATTCACTCTAACTGAAAAAATAGTTTAAATATCAGGGCCCCTGATTCAGGGATTTTTGTAAACAATCCTCGTGAAGACTTTTCTTTTATACTGATGATGAGTTTTATATACTGACTTTGTGTTCTCGTGATTATCTAGCTGGATATCGTTGAACTGCTTCTCAAGGGATGCAAATCACTCAAGAACTACGAGAAGAAGGTTAGAATGATCAACTCAAATCCATAACATCGCCTTTACGTGTTTGCAAATTAACCATTTCATTTTACTTTTTCTGTTGATGTTCTTCTCGAACTTGTGCAACACAATTGCATGATCACATACGTAGTAGTTAGCTTAGGTTTTTCTGATTTTACTGTGTTGTGTCTTGTGTTATTACAGTGCAAGACGTTGGTATTCGAATATGGACCTCTGATCCTCGTAAATGCAGAGGAATTCCTAGTGAAAAACGACGTCTGCACACTCTTACGCGCATGTCCGGCTGAGAAATCGGTTCTAAGGCAGCCAGAGTTGGCGGATTCTTGAATGTTAAAAACGTTGCCATAGCAGGACTTAATTCCTTATAAGTAGGAACACGAGCTGCTCCATAAGAATGGTTGCAGACTTTGTGTAGTGTCTATATGTATGGATTCAAACACACCCTCCAAATGTCTCTTTGCGTTTGTGTAAATAATGATCGCTACAACAATTGTACCTCTACCATGATATCACTGTATTCTATTTCAGGTTTGTTACATTTTATAAGAATGATATTTTTTTATGTTTCTATCTCACCGCTGGTGTTTGACTGTTTTCAATTCATTTTTGGCAAAAAACCTTTGGTAAGTTTGTGTTGTGTTGGAATTAACAACTCTTCCTTTTAGCCTTGTAGAGGATTTATCTACACAAAATTATGTGTTTCAAGAATAAAACCATGTTTGTTTTTTGGCAGTTGCTGATGGCCGCCAAATCTAAAATCTGAGACGCTCAAATTATTAGCGTTTAAAATTTAATTACTTAAACCCAAAATCAAAAAGGATTTTTACATAGATACACCAGGATTATTATCTAAAAAGCCATTTTTGCTCAACCATTTTTTAAAATTGCCATTTTCTCAACATTCTTTCAAATTTGCCATTTTTGCCATTTTTAAAAACTAAAAATTTGGAAAAATAATTTCATAAAACATATACTTTATAACAAAAACTATACCCTACAAAAAACTGGAACTTAATAAACCCAAGCATTATGTGTAAATTTGTGTTTTTGTTTACAAAAAAATGGCAATTTTCAAATTTTTTTGATAAAATGGCAAATTCTATAAAAGCCATCAAAATAAGTCCTTTATTCGTAATTGATTCTAGATACACCAATATCTCTATAGTGTGCCCCACGATATTGGTACTAGGACTGACGTGGCCAAAAGTGTCTCAAGATTTGACCAAGTCATATAAGATTAGTGAATTCCATTGGAATAATTATAATTTGATGCCCCAACGACTCTCGCCTCTCGAGACATTTTTAGTAATAATGAATGATTAAAAACGGTCGAAATAACTTTATAGCCGTTGGTCTTGGTCATGTTTCTCTCGCTTACCGTTTTTTTGGCGCAGGACCAACAAGTAAAAACTAGCCGTTACCCTTACAATAAACATAAACTAAACACTTTGTCTTTGTCTTCTTCCTCGTCACTCCAACCATAATTAGTCTTTTGCTACAACACTCACTCACTCACTTGTTCATTTCCTCTCTCACTAAAAATTAATCTTCTCTCTCTCTCTCTCTATCTCTATCTCCAAAAAACAGAGGAAGCAGAACAACCCAAGAACTCAAGCTCCCTGCTCTTCTCATCTTTCTTCTACGTTTTCTATTTTTTTTTCTTCTTTACTCTTTGATTCTTTTGAAATGAATCATCTTTTCAAAAACCCATTTCGGATTTATGAAATTAGTTTCCATTTCTGCATGAGTCTCCTCTTGTGTTTCTTACTCTTCTCTGCTAGAGCTGTTGCAGGTGGTGGTGGTGGTGGTCACTCTTGGGATGGAATCGTGGTGACTCAAGCGAACTATCAGGCACTCCAAGCAATCAAACACGAACTCATTGACTTCACCGGAGTTCTCAGAAGCTGGAACAACTCTGCCTCCTCTGAAGTTTGCTCTGGCTGGGCTGGAATCAAATGCCTCCGAGGTCAAGTGGTCGCCATTCAGCTCCCTTGGAAGGGACTTGGTGGCACTATCTCCGAAAAGATTGGACAGCTTGGGAGTCTCAGAAAACTTAGCCTCCACAACAATGTTATCGCCGGTTCGGTTCCTCGTTCCCTTGGCTACCTCAAGAGCTTGCGTGGAGTCTATCTCTTCAACAATCGCCTCTCCGGTTCCATCCCAGCCTCACTGGGTAACTGCCCTCTTCTCCAGAATCTTGATCTTAGCAGTAACCAGCTAACTGGAATCATCCCAACTAGTCTTGCTGAATCCACGAGGCTCTATAGGCTCAATCTCAGCTTCAATTCACTGTCCGGTCCCCTTCCGGTTAGTGTAGCCAGAGCATATACCCTCACTTTTCTCGATCTTCAGCATAACAACCTCTCTGGTTCGATACCCAACTTTTTGGTTAATGGCTCCCACCCTCTCAAAACGTTGAATCTTGACCATAATCTCTTCTCTGGAGCTATTCCTTTGTCTCTCTGCAAGCATGGTCTGTTGGAAGAGGTTTCTTTAAGCCATAACCAGCTCTCAGGTTCTATTCCCAGAGAATGTGGAGCTCTTCCACACCTCCAGAGCCTTGATTTTTCTTACAATTCAATCAACGGAACCATCCCAGACAGTTTCTCCAACCTTTCATCTCTGGTTTCACTAAACCTCGAAAGCAACCACCTCAAAGGCCCAATCCCAGATGCCATTGATAGACTGCATAACATGACAGAGCTTAACATCAAGAGAAACAAGATCAATGGGCCAATCCCAGAGACAATAGGGAACATATCTGGAATCAAACAGCTTGATCTGTCAGAAAACAACTTCACAGGTCCAATCCCGTTGTCACTAGTCCACCTGGCGAACCTTTCTTCATTCAACGTCTCCTACAACACCCTCTCTGGTCCTGTTCCACCTATTCTCTCCAAGAAGTTCAACTCAAGCTCTTTCGTGGGGAACATTCAGCTCTGTGGCTACAGCTCCTCAAAGCCATGCCCTTCTCCAAAACCTCATCATCCTCTCACCCTTTCACCGACCTCATCACAAGAACCAAGAAAACACCACAGAAAACTCTCGTTGAAAGACATAATCCTAATCGCCATCGGAGCTCTTCTAGCCATCCTCCTTGTATTATGCTGCATACTCCTCTGCTGTCTGATCAAGAAACGAGCCGCCTTGAAACAAAAAGATGGAAAGGAAAAGACATCAGAGAAGACAGTATCTGCAGCTGCTGCATCAGCTGGAGGTGAAATGGGAGGCAAGCTGGTTCATTTCGATGGTCCATTCGTGTTCACCGCCGATGATCTCCTCTGTGCCACAGCTGAGATCATGGGGAAAAGTACTTACGGCACAGCATACAAAGCCACATTGGAGGACGGAAATGAAGTCGCTGTGAAGCGGCTGAGAGAGAAAACAACCAAAGGAGTCAAAGAGTTCGAAGGAGAAGTCACAGCTTTAGGCAAGATTCGTCACCAGAATCTGCTTGCACTAAGAGCTTACTACTTAGGACCTAAAGGAGAGAAGCTACTCGTCTTTGACTACATGTCAAAAGGAAGTCTCTCTGCGTTTCTTCACGGTAAGCAAAAAAAACCCTAACTCTGGATTTGATAAAGTTGACATTTTTATTGATCTGACATATTGAATTTAACAGCTCGAGGACCAGAAACCCTAATTCCATGGGAAACAAGAATGAAGATAGCAAAAGGAATCAGTCGTGGTTTAGCTCACCTTCACAGCAACGAGAACATGATCCATGAGAATCTCACAGCAAGCAACATTCTCCTCGACGAACAAACCAACGCACACATCGCCGATTACGGTCTCTCAAGGCTCATGACCGCCGCCGCCGCCACAAACGTAATAGCAACCGCCGGAACATTAGGATACAGAGCACCGGAGTTTTCAAAAATCAAGAACGCAAGCACTAAGACCGATGTCTACAGCTTAGGGATCATCATATTGGAGCTCTTGACTGGGAAATCTCCAGGAGAGCCGACGAATGGGATGGATTTGCCTCAATGGGTAGCTTCGATTGTGAAAGAAGAGTGGACTAATGAAGTTTTTGATCTGGAGCTCATGAGAGAGACTCAAAGCGTTGGTGATGAGCTTTTGAATACTCTGAAATTGGCTTTACATTGTGTTGATCCGTCTCCGGCGGCGAGGCCAGAAGCTAATCAGGTGGTGAATCAGTTGGAGGAGATTAGGCCGGAGACTGAAGCGGAGATGGAGACGACGCTGATTGGATCTGGTGGTGAAGGAGGTAAAGATTTAGGGTCAAACGAGGATTAAAGGAAAGTTTTGGGGGTTTTTATGGAAGAAGAATAAAAAAGAAGGGACCTATATACAAATACCACATTTTTTATTTTCATTAATATTCTTTGATTCAAGTAAATGTAGATAAAAATGGTTTGAAGTTTGTGCTAGTACTGTAATGTAATTTGATTATTCATTCTTTTTTGGTTGAAGAAGTAATACAATAATTGATTTTGGAATTTACTTATTTTCTGTGATGTAGTGTAATTTTGATTGTTTTTTTTGGTTAAAAGAAGAGAAGAAAATGTTACCAAACTTCAAACACACAACCATTTTTCAGAGAGTAGTGGTAAAAAATGATGAAACAAATATAACAGTAAATAGTTTGTGAGTCGGGGATGCTCAAAGAAGAGAGATTATAAATGGATTTGTTGTTGGTTTTAAAATAGAACTAAGAGATCTCTAAAACGGCTTTTTAGATATAAATAGAACAGATAACAAAAATATCTTTTACAAAAGTCTCTTCTAAACCATTTCACCTTTGTCTTCTCTAATATAACATCAATAGTTCAGTCACTGATAATAATCGATATATAAATTTATGGGTTGACACAACAGATCCATCGAAAACGTCGATGTTTAGCTTTGGTTTCAGTTAGGATCTCAGCTTCAGGTTCGATTTCAGGTGTAATTTGTGTCTCAGCTTCAGGTTCAGTTTGAATCTCGGCTTCGGGTACAATTTCGATCTCTACCTCAGCCTCAACCATGTTGGATTCGTGGTCATCTTGTGAAGCACGAAAATAAACATCAAACATCTTCCACAACTTAAAGAGGTCGGCGGGTCTCGGCTCAACAAGCACTAATTTGTTGAAAATTTCCACTAGGACGTCACTTTTTCCTGGAATATATTAAGTAAAACACATTATTAAATCCCATATATATTTAAGTGTTGGAAAAACAAAATAAAAACTAAGTAAATTGGAAGACGAATCATTCCCTATGTTGAGATTTTTTTTAGTGTGAGGTAGACCTACACTAACTAATATGCTATCCGAGCATGTATAATATTCCGATTATGAGGCCAGCCCTTCAAATTAACTTTACGTTTCAGATGTTTAATCTCAATCTTAAACATTGGGAGGAGAGGAAGAAAATGTATTAAAGTATAAAATTGTCCTACATCGAAAGTTGGAAGATTTTCTAAGCAATATACAAGAGTGTGGCAATCTATCTTACTCTTGGATGTGTGCTAGGCTCATACTTTACTAATAGAGAAGAAACTGACGTATTTTTACTTTTTGGATGATTTTATTTTTATAAAGTCTATATTGATAATTAATACACAATTTTCATAATTTTATATTTTGACAATAGGATTTCTAATTTTTTTCCCCCAAAATTCAAAATACTCATCAAAGCTTCACATATTTGGCAATATTATTTCGTTCGGGGATTTTTACTTTGTCCGTTGGGTTAAGTTTCCATTTTTGGGAGTTGTATTCTATTGTGGTTCCACAACAAATATTAATAAAATTTCAGATGACCAAAAACAAAACTTCACAAATTTAGCAAGTTATGATGTTATATATTATATAACAAGATTTTTCGAAAACTGACTCCTATTCTGATTTAGTATTGGTTCAACGATTATGTACGTTAAAAACTGTTTTTAATGTTAATTATAAGGTTATGGACCAAAACTCATAAATCTTCCTAGATCCAAAGCAACCTTTAATAATTGACTCGTACCAGCTGCCTCTCAATACTACAGAGTAGCAGAGGTCAGTAAACACCAAATATAGTATGTAATCAATTTTGTATTATTATTTGGTATGAGAGGCATGTTGTTTTATCCATGTATATACCATAAGATATAAGTGTTTACTATTGTAGTCGAGTGTTATAGCTAAGATGACCTAATTGTTAGATGTTATAACCAAGATGACCTAACTGTAATATATTTGGCTGAATTTATATGATAGTTAGGGTATATATAGTTATGATGTATCATGGTAATGGTGATTCGACTGGCCATATATTATATTTGAAATGATAACGACTAAATATATAGTCGATATCTTTAATACGGAAATCTTAATCCTAAGGAAAACACCAAGAACATATAATCTCATACGTGTTATTACGTATGAGTTTACCGAATTTATTCAAGTAGAAGGTGAAACCTATAGAAATTATAGAAATGATGGGAGATCAACGTGATAAAAAAGATATCACCAAAATTAATGAAAAACAGTTAAGATATTTGGTGAATTTATATTTCATACTATATTCTACAAATAGAGCATTTCACTATGTGAAATAGTCAATACAAGAGGTATATATATCGGGGAAATGTGGTTTAGCATAAGAGCAGAGTCACATTCCTACTCAATATATGCTTCTCAAATAAGGACTTTTGGTTGTACACACATGTTTGTTATGTGGTTTGGAAGAGGAAACAAGGAACCACCTCATCTTCAATTGTGTTTTCTCTTAAGTTTGGATTGTGGTCACTTCAAGGCTAAATCTCTACGCAGCTCCATTATCTTGGAGTTATATCTTACACAAGTTGCCCTAATCTCTTACTTGATCACAAAGCGGACTATTCTTACAGGATAACAGACCACTATTTATGTAATATGTAAGGAAAAGAATCAAAGATTTGACGATGGATATACTTTTCCTCCTTACTTTATTTTAAAATAGGGTAGGCCGAAATTCGAGAAACAAAGTTTCAGATCAAAAATTTATGGGTAGAACAAGGATCGTTATCATCTACGAAAATAGTTTCATTTTTGGTAAATCTTCTATAATCCTCTGGCATGTGACATATTGCAGTCTCGTCGTGATTTCACAACCTTTCTTTTTTCAACAACATTCAATATGCAGACTTGAATTCTTGACACATCGATGATAGTAGCACAAATCGAGAAGTCACTTGTCTTGGTCTAATTTGTACGTTAGAACTAAAAATCACATAAAAAGAAACCCTAACTATGACATCTTAAGTCCTAAAACATAAGTCATTAACTCTATAAAATCTATAAACAAAATGGGTTGTTTCTTGATTAACTTTTTTCTCTCAATTCTATATTTTAATAATTTGATATTTTAAATATGTTTAATGCTTATTAAAGATTAAGAGCGACGATATTACCGTAATTTTCTGGAAAAGTGCAGGTTGAACCGTCTATCATCGCCAATTCTGTTAAGAATAAAACAATATATCGTAAGTCATCCCCGACCCAATATATATTAGACTACCTTATGGGTAAAAAAATGAACTTTCTTTACATTAAAACGAGAGACATTGTTTTGGTATTTTGTTATAAAACTTGGAGTTTTTAGTAATTTAAGAGCTGTTTTGATTTTTCATTTTTTTAAGTAGATCCCTTTTTAAGTAAAACTATTATATGAAAAAAAATTGTTTTCTTGAGATATACTTTTTAAAAAAAATTGGATCTTTACAGGGACATCATTTTTACTAGTACTTTTTGGATTTTTTTTTAAATGATTATAGAGTTAATGACCTTTGAGTCGTATATTTTTTAAGACGAAATTTAGATCATATAATTACTATGTTTTGGAAAACATATCTCTTCTTACACAAATCTTTTCAAAGTCTTTATGTTTTCGATAATACATAAACTTAGTTACTAGACCAACTCGTTTTTGGTTAATTTTTAGGTCATTTTTCAAAGACCTTGAAAAATATGATCTTTTTTCTTGTTTAATTTCTTTTCAGTAGACATATAAATCTTTGGATCATTGCACTTTTGCTCATCCAACTTGGGTCGAGCATGTCGTAAGATTAATGTATGTAAAAACGAAAGTTTAGCTAAGTGTTTTTCTTTATATATTTTTCTTGTTTCTTATTTTTTTATTTAAAATTCTTCTTAGTAACCATTTTATACTTTCATATCTTTTAAAGTCAATTTGTTAATAATCTTGTAAGATTTTTATTTGTTCATCACATCAACAATTACATGAGAAACATGAGTTCAATATTAGGGAAAAACTATCCCAAAATTTCCTCCGTTTATGTTTTCTTATGAAATTTTTGCTCAAAAAAAAACAAAAAATGAAATTAACAATTTTTTTTTATTTTTTGTCAACCACACATTTATTAAAAAGCTCCTTGGGTGGTTACCCAATTAGGAGGAGAAATGTTTACAAAGGTAGCTGTAAATTTGAAAAGGAGAAAATATGAAATAACAAATTTGAAAAGTAGTTTTTGATATATTTATAATAAATTGAATACATAGCTTTTCAAACTGCAAATACCGGGGGGAAAAATACCTTTATTTTCGGTTGTGCTTTCATGATCTTTTGGCTTCTTAGGAAGTATCTTTCTCACCAAAGATCTGAAGATTCTACGGATCCCCGAAATATTTTCCTTTGCACTTCCCATCTTATTTTCCGACTGTATTATATGACTTTCTCGTTGACAAAAGAAAAAAAGTATAATGTGACTTTTTCTCTAAAAAAAAAAATTCTGCAACTAAACACAACTCTTATCTGTTTAAATGTATGGAGACAACCACTTCTTGTAATGTACATATATTTTTCTTTAACAAAAAAAAGTAATGTACATATTTTCCATTCAATGTATATTTTCCCTTAAATTTTTTAATATTTGATTATGTATATATTTGAATTACTTGATTATATTCCTTTAAAGAGTTGTTTAAGTAAAGAGATGTAAGGACATACGTAAGCATTATCTAAATGTGAATGGAAATAAAAGTGAGGAAGATTTGTTCTATATGTAGACCGTAATGACAGGGGTTATTACACTGTCATTTTTAATAACTTTTCATTTTTCCAAAAGCATTCTACAATATTGCAAATAAACCTTATCTGGATGCTTATCATATTCTAACTTCTTATAACTACTAAAGAAATTCTTAAATTTTCCATTTTTTTCTTTCATAATAAAATTTTCTATCATCACAAAAGATTATTTCTATTATTTTCTATATATAATTAGACTATTATTTTTCATAAATTTATTCATATATATATATATACATAATAATGATTTTATATTTCAATAATAGTATAATATATTAATCTAGATTTTAGCGGACCCATAATCCTCAAAAGAAAATCTTATATATACAAATTCAGAATACACTACTTACATATAATATACTTGTTAGTTATTGATACTTTTGTAAGTAAACTACATTACTTCAACATCCGAATACACGGAAACAAAAATGTCCAACTCTGACCATATAGATCTCCTTTCCGTCTAACGTCCAAATGTCCAAATAGCCAAAATAATCATCTCTAATTTTCTATAGACTCTAGAAAACAACTGCATAACTAACCAATTTTACATCCTTTAAAATAATAATTACCATTTAGTTTAGTAAGTATATATATATATATATCTAGTTACGTGATTGTTGTGCTTTTTCAAAACGATGTATTTGTGAGACAAAGCATAAAACAAAATATTTTATTCATTCATTTCCTAATTACCCTCACGTTTCTAATTAAGTTTCTTGTTTGCTTTCAATCACAACATGAAAGCATTGTTATAGTTTTCCTCTATTTCGGTTTCCCTTTAGTCATTAGTTAATTATACACAAGTGGGATGGGAAAATATTGAACAAAAATAGATCTGACTATAAATAATTAGTATTTATTTTAAACAAAGACCAAATTGGATTCATAGTCAGTCTGGAGAAGATATCGAATTCACAAAAGACACAAACATACAAAATAGCCTCGTACGTGAAGATCAATATCAAACTTACAAAACCGAAGAGTAAAAATAATTATAAACGTCGTTGAAATCTTCTTCAGTCAATCGCAGAGTGGATCAAAATGGCTGCCTCCTCTGTTGTTGGAGCTGCGTCTTCTGCGTTTAGGGACCAAAAGTCATTTACAAACAAATTAACAATTATCTACTTAAATCATTTGCGAACTCCATAATCTTAACACTAGAGTTCCATCGAAGCGTCTAACTAATCTAAAGAGCGAACAATCTCTTCACCAAAAAAATAGTAATTGCAAGATCGAAGGTTAATATACACAATGAAATCAAATCCGAGATTATTGCAAATTTACGCTTTAACACTAAAGTCGAGAGTACCGTACCTGGCAGATGAGAAATAATCTTCTCTAAGACTCCAACACTTGATGAGCTCTCTTTTTCCTTGTCATTTTCATCTTCACATTCTAATTTTTGAATGTTTTTACCAGATTTTCCCTCTGCTGTTGTTGTTGTTGTTGCATCCATAAAGTTGGATATCAGATTGTTCAAAATCCCACCTTTAGCTCCTTTCTCTTCTTCTTCTTCTAGTTCTTGTTTATCTTTGTTCTTTTCTACGACTTCTTTTGGACACACGACCTTCTCTGCTTCTGGAACGCCTTCTTCCATATTTCCTTCCTATTGTTTCTTTCCTTACCATTGGTTCCACTTTTCCTTAAGACAGTGCCATTTTAATTAATCTTGTAAAAGTAGTTTGATGTTGAACTTTATCGATGCAAAATAGTGACTTAATATAATATACAATGAGACAATAGTATAGGTTATCCAAAAAATGAGATAATATATTAATTAACTAAAGTTGTACTAAGTCGGTAGAAAATCTAGAAAAAAACGACACGTCCACTGTTCTGAGAAGCGGTCATGTGGTTTTACACGTACCTCGTAACTTGTTGTTTACCATATATTTCATTACACGTGTCAGCTAACTGTCTAAAACTAAAAGCATTTTCATATTCCTTGTCTGATTTCCTCGAATCCACACGTCCCTTGTTGTGAATAGATGTGAATAATTGTGTATTTTACCAATTTGCAAGTTTTAGTTCTTTCCAAGATTTTTTTATGCATATAACAACAACTAGTCATAATTATTTTGTTGTTCTCTTAATGTTTTAAGTTTTACACGTAAATTAAAAAAAAAAAGTAATTTTTATATTATTTAATTATTTTTGTTTGTTAATTTAACAATTTTAGTTTCATTCTTTTCCTCTCCTTATTGGTTACTAAGTAAAAGTAATAACAATGTTATTACAAAATATCAAATTTTGTGGAAGAAGAAAAAATTTCAAAACATCAAATTATTAGAAATAGAGGGAGTAAATAGCTAGGATTTTTGAGAAAAAAAAATTCTTTTTAATCTTTTGAAAAATGGGCCACTGTTTTTGTCAAAATTTTTTTTTTTTTTTGAATAGCAGGAGGTTATGCGCCAAAACCCGTAATTCTCCAGATCCGAAACCACATCATATAATATTAGTTTCGTCTCAAGCGTCACTCGAATCGACGACCTCTAAGTTTCACCAAAATTTTTTACCAATTGAGCTAACGACACTTGAAAAATTAGGTTTTAATCTTTTGAAAAATGGGCCATTCTGTTTTTGTCAAGTTTCATATCTCTAATCTCTGCAATCTCAGATTTCTTTCATATTCTTTTGCAAAAGTTGGTTTCTTATTCTCTTCCAAAAAATTCAGAAAAAAAAGTAAAGTCATTTGTTTAAGTATTTCTTTTGCCGGATAAATTTTACATTACAAAAAGAGAAAAAATCTTCAGATATTTGTAGTTGCACATCTTATCAAATCATTCAACTCTCTAAAACTACCAAAATAAATAAAAATTGAAGTGATCTGTAAGCTTGATGGCCTATTTTAAGAGATCATGAAATCTGGACAAACAATTCTTTTGGTCAGAAGTCAGAACAGATCCAAAGTCTAATTTGTGGATTATATATATAAAAGTATTACATGATAACTTTAAAGCTAGCTGCAACAATTTTGGCAAAAGGGCCTTATATTTTGTACATGCTTTTCTTTTCTTTCTTTTCGTATAAATGTTATTAACCACCACATTTTACAAGAAACCAAAAAAGTACCTTAATCCAACTAGTTATTTTTTGTAATAAACTTGGGTTGCAAGTGGACGTGGGAAGATGGAGAAAATGCATTTTTGACGCCACAGATTCTATGCTTAGTGCTCCAAGGCAGCAATACATGTACGCCACAAGCTTTTGGTGAAAAACAAGACTGCCTCACGGTTGCACCACTCAAATAAGAGAGCTTCTTCTTCCTTCTTTGGCTAGCCGCTGATGTCACGGCTGCTAGAGCCGCTGCATCCGGTAGAAACCGCTCTATTATGTAACTCGGTGACATGTCTTCGCTTCGTTCTGTGCTTTCCATTGTTAAGTAGCCGTTTGAGTCACCTGCTCCGCTGCTCCCATCCGATTCCGAAACGCTATCTTTTGGGAGTTCGACCATGTCTATGGCTTGCGTGAGAGACAAGACATCGACCGTGTCTTGGTTGGTTTGATGGAAATGTTCGTGATTGTTGCGTTTCTTCATATGCGACAATCTAGCTGGTGTTAAACTCTCACTGGCGTCATCAAAGTCGTCGTTTTCACCTTTAACGTGCACCTATGATGTAGAACGAATGACAAAATCAATTGGTAATGAATGGATTGAAAAACCTAAAACAGGAAAACAGAGAAAATATTATGGTTTAGAGAATGATAAACCTTCAATCTTCCAGGAGGTAGTTTGAGGCGGGGCGTCTCGGATTCAGCATCATTTTTCAAATGAGACGAGTTCTTGGGCATCCCGGGAGCGGTCTCCCAGCAAAACGGGACGGAAGCTTCCGGAAACTGACCCGGAAGCTTCTCTTGGCTGACATGGCGCTTCGTCGACAAGAATGGAGCATTGAAGTTCAATCTTCGGGATCGGTTAATATCCATCATTTCTTCAACGGTAAGATACAAAATCATTTGAGGGTAAAAGGTGTTTCTTGTTTGCGACCCAAGAAGGCAAAATTGTGAGTTTGGGAGATATCAGCTTTGTTGTATTGACACTCTTCTTTTCTAGTTTGTTAGCTGAAAGTTGAATTTAATGACAAGTTGTTGAAAGTTTGAAACTTTCTCGTGTCTGCAAAACCGATATTTGTGGCCTCTTTATTGTGTTCACAGGTCAGGAAAGAGCTTTAGAAAAAGTTAGTCTCCTACCATGTGGTGGTGATAAAATCGATCATGAAACCAAACATTAGAACTCAGAGCCAAAATTATAATTAAGAAGATGATTTCCTCATTAAGTGATAAAAAAAGAATGTTGAAATATGGAGGATAATTTTGGTGAAACATGTTGAAATATTGTATGAATGAATAGTTTCTTTGTTTTCTTGTTTCAGGAGGATAAAAAACACATCCCCGGATGCTTTCAAAATCAATACAAGAAACATGTAAAAAAAAAAGTTGAAGAAGTTACAGATACAATTACATAATTCCAGTGAAAAAAATAAATAAAACGAAAGAAGCAATAATACATCTAGAAATAGGACAGAAGAAGAAGTCCAATTTCACCAGAGGTAAGTTCTTCTTCGTGGTTTCTTCCCTTTTTTTTGGCCAGAAAACGTATTATATCTTAAGCAGCAAGAAACACTCTCTGCACTACTACTTTATAGTATCCTCACCCAACCCCCCCCAATAACCAAAATTATAGAGAAAAAATATATATATAAAAAGTTTCTATTTACATGGCTATGCTTGTTTTTTCCCTGGTTCACTCAAACCAAGCCTTGTTTGATTGCTCGGTTTCTGTTTTGCACAAGGAAAATGAAACAGTGTAGAAGCATACCAGGAGGGAAGAAGAGAAAGATTTTGCCCATCAAACCAAAACGATAGTTTTGTTCTACTTTTGGTCGTTTGGTTCACGAGCTTTGTGGTAGAGCTCGAGTGTATCTGCATGACCTGGATCAATACATAATGCTGCTTCACAATCTTTGATAGCAGCTGCTCCTTCTCCCATTGAATCATAGAATGCTGCTCGTAGATGTAACAGCTGGAGATCTGGTTTAAAAGATATCGCCCTTGAAAGCTCGTCTATGGCTTCACTTTCTTTGTGGTCGTCCATAAGAACTGCAACCAAGAGTTCATGTTTTAAAAAAAAAAAAGCGAAACTTAAAAAGAAAGCTTAATACGCTGCTGGTCTTAGCAAAGCAAAATTGAGTATAACATTGATAAGAACAGAGGCTGTAAAACTACTGTTCTTATACACATTCACCAAACCAGAGAGACTGCATATCAATTCGGTTTAAGGACACAAGTAGATAACACTCTCAGTTCTGTTTCTATCTCCAGAAAGATGATGGAAATGTCAGATGGGTCATAAATTCTCATTTCTGTTTCCATCACCACACAAGCTGGGTTGTACGTTTTTCTAACACTTTTGTGCATTGAATTATACGTGGGTGAATCCCTCAGAAAGGATCAGCCATTGTTGTCTTGTTTCTGGCATCCAATAATAAACAACAAACAAAAGGAGGATAAACTAGAACTTGGTTGTGTCATTAGCATACCTGCGGCTCTGTATCTGTAAGGATAGGTTCTGAGAGGGTCAAGCTGTGTTGCCAAGCTAAGGTCGCTCTGTGCCATCTCGCGGTCACAATATTCAGAGCGCTTCTCATATGCCGAAGCATTGTTCTGAGCCTTCTCTATTAGCTTTGTCATTTCATCAAAGGCAGCTTTCCGTTGGTTTTTAAGGTGATAAACACGTGCAAGACCTTGGTGAGCTCGTGTATGCTTGATGGTGAGAGCGTTTGTGTAGCAATCAGCTGCAAGATCCAGCTTTTCACAATCCACATATACGCTCCCCAGGTTGTTCAAAGCCTGCAAGCAAATACACCAAACAGGAGTTCATGATAATGTCATATGATATAGTAGGATAACCTTTTGAGCAAATATACGAAACGGTTTTTAGGACAGTTGGTTCCTGAGATGCGACCACATTCCATTATCAACAAATTACTCCAGACACCAAGAGCAAAAAGTTTTAAACTGGGATTCTGAAACTAGGGAAGTCTGAAGCATGATCCAACAAGTAAACACTCTAGAAAAAGAATTGACTAATTGAGAAATCAAATAACATAAATGAAAAGTGCTGAACTCTTTACTTACTTGTCCCTTACGGAGACCATCTGAGGGGCACTTAAGCGCTTCTTGAAGGAGCTGAATCACATAATTTGAGGAATCCGGGTCAAGCGTAGAGTCCGCAAGGGCATAAGCTTTGAGAAAAAACGCTTCAAAAGATCTTTGTATGGAAATGGACTCCTCCGCTTTGGCAAGGGCTTCCTCGCGGTGACCTGTATCATACAATATCCAACCTTCATACACAAGTCTCTCATGCTCCGACTTTGAATGGTTTCGAGCCAGCCTTAGACTACGCATTGCTGCCTTTTGACAATTTAGCCTGTCAGTATGCAAGCAGCACTTGTTAGAATCAATTAGAGTCTGCCACAACATGCACCAGAAGATAAAAGTTTTTATTGAGAAGCGTAAAGAGAGATTATACCGTAGCAGAAGAAGAGACTGTCTGAATCGTAAAAGACTCTTCCCTGGATCATTTGCAAGCATATGATGAACAACTGCTAGAGAACCAATATCATCCACAGAAGACCAACGATCATACAGCTGCATCCAGCAATCAGCCTGGCTCCACTGCTGGGCTAACGGACGGAGCAGCTCCACCATATGATCACCATGGATTTTCCAGTTAAACATCATAAAATTCGGCTCCAATGTCAAAAGCGCCCGAATATCTTTCAGAGCGCCCTCATAATCCTCCATACCTATAGAAATCCATGCCCTCATCTCCAGACAGTCAGGAGAGGCCTTGAATCCAAGAATCTTGTTCAGTTCCGAGATCGCAGCTCCAAACTGGTTCTCTTCAACCAATGCCACTGCCCTGAATTTGTAGGGGAATGTCAAAGTCGGGTCTAACTCAGTAGCTGTGTCCAAATCGAGCAGCTTTTCTTTACCACTGCAATACAAGGACCTCTCCTGGTGCATCCACCCAGTAGCTTTATGATCCGAAATCAGTGAGTTGATGATCTTATAAGCCGAGTACCTATGGTCACGCTTGAACTTAGACCTAGCAACGCCCACGAGGGAGTAAAGATGACCAGCCTCAACTGCTGCGTTAAACCATCTCTGAGCATCCTTATATTCTTTTCTCTCCAGCATCACCACTCCTAATTGGTGATACGCAAGCTGTTTCTCCCAATTATCCACCGCGCATTCAACCAAACGTTCTAAGAGCATCACAGTAGTGTTAGATTTCATATCATCTTCCATGGCAATCTGGCTTAAGAAGAAGTACAATGTAAAAGAAGCATGGCCAAGAGATGCCAGTCTTTCCCGTCCCTCGGCACTACAGAAGAACTTTATAACATTCGGATTATGCATAGAGCTCGGCAATTCCCTAAGAAAAATCTGAAGACAAGCTGCCACCAGAAGGTATGCAGCCTCTTCTAATCCATACTCGATCAACAACATTGCCTCATCCAGAGAATTAACAAGATGTGCCAAATGCGAATCGCAAGCGGATTTCAATTCATCGCAACAGAACCGATTCGCCAGCTTAAGAAGCTCCAAGACAACATTAGGAGGGAAGTTATCTAACCTGTTGGTCCTGCTGAAAATCTCTGCAGCTCTCATCCCTTCAACAGAGATTCCGTTCTGCGTAAAATTGATCGTGGCTCGTTTCATTTCTCTAAACCCACCGTATAACATCGCCTTGAAAGGTCTCGACAAAGAAGCGATTTTGTACCTCACACAACGAACCTCTTCATCACCAATACAAAAGGACATATCATAGTCTACTTCCTCAGAAGTAGAACATTCATCTTCATTCATCATCTCTGATCTAGAAGCTCCAGAGCAAATACATGGATCATATACAGATTCCGGATCATACCCGGAAACAAGAGTCGCCTTTGGACATTCCAAATTCCTCCCACAACAATCCATAGAAGTTGTTCCAATTAACTCATCCTCCCTCCTCTCGAATCGAAGCCACGACGCCAGCACGACTTTCGCATGAACATCCACGGCATGTTGCCTAGACGATCGGAGACTCCGCCGGAAAAGTTTCGGATCAGAAATTCCCCGGAAGATAGCGCATTGCTCTAAATACGCCCCAGACTTCTCGAATTGGGAACAATTCTCGATCCTCCGATAAACTTGAGCCATCATGTCAACCAAATCAACGAATTTCAAACAAGGATCGATTTGAGGTTCAAGCAGATCCGTCACAGGAAGTCCACAGGGAAGAAGAAACTCGGGAGAAACAAGAGCGTTTGCTTGATTCGAAGGAGGAGGATAAGTCCGGCTTGATTTAGATCGGACTGAATTAACACGAAGATGATCTGAAAGGTGTTGTAAGAGCTTATCCCCAACTCCTCCGGTGCCACCGCTACCACCACCACCGCCGCTATTACCAGGAGGAGGAGGCGGAGGAGGAGCTGATGGGTTAAGAGCGTAAACTTGTGTACCCTTACAACCTTCTGCAAGCTTCAAACTTCGCATTGTTGTGAAGAGATTATGCTGCATCTTCAATCAAACGCAAAGCAAAGTTTTCAAATTTATCCAAAGATCTGAATTTGGGTCATCAACAAAACAAAACAAAAAACTCAAGATTTACAAATTTCTTCCGTCACCTTTAAAACAATTCCGAGGATTGGATCACGGAGCCAATCCAAAAGTCCGGTGCTTCAGACCCTTTAATCAAAAACCAATAAAAATCAAATAATATTTTACAAAGTTTGTGTTTTTATCTTCCTCAACGAAGCTCTTCTTCTTCGTCTTCTTCTTCTCGGAAATCGTGTTTTTGCAGTGTAAGTTTCATCGATCCGGTTCGTTTTTTTTTGTTCGCACTAATTTTACGAATCTATCCGTAAAAATAGAGAGAGGTAATTGGAGGAAGAATCTTCCTCCGCTCGATCTCTCTCAGTTTTGGTTTATTGTTTTTTTTTTTTTTTTTTTACGAATCTGTTTTCAGAGAGAAGTCATGTGTTCTAATAATGCAAAATTAAATTAAAAAAAAAATATTATTATATGTGTTTGTTTGTGTGGCTTATTTTTATTTTTTTGCCTTTTTAAGTTTTGTCCTCTTGTTAGTTTTGTGGAAAGTAATTTGATTAGTTTATTTTATTTCCATTTAAAGCTTAAATTAATCCTCTTCTAACGTTATCAACTGCCATTTTTTTATTTCTTAGATTTTCGCGGCACTTTTTACAATCTCCAAAAAGGTTGAAAAAAATATACATAATTAATTAAACATTTATATGAAAGTACTGGCCTTTAATATACTTTGACAGTTTATTTATTTATCCCCACTTTCTTTAGCATGCTTCTATGTTACACTTGTTTCCCTTTTTTCTATTTGTTTAGTCTAAAATTTGTATTCGTTGTTATGTTCCTTTTTTTTTCTCTGGCTGAAATTGAACTTTTACTTTTGGGTGAGTCTTATGCTTTTTCCAAAATTATGATTTATGAAGTTAGATCATATTTATCGATTTTGTTAAATATAAAACATAAACGGAAGATTGTTCGATTTTATCCAAAGTGGAACTTGAACAAGACAGAGTGGATTCCATCAATTAATTTTTGGTATTTTATTCGTTGTCTTTCAATTGGTTATAATTTGTTAAGTTTTTTTTCAGTATAAAAAAAAACACCAAATGACACATTTTTATATTTTTGTTAACTTGAAAATCAGAAAAAAAAATGTTAGTAAAATAGTATATTTTCATTGCGATTTCATAAGATTAACTACTAGTGTATGTTCTATAAATGTAGTAAAGGATAAAAATATTTGATTTTTTCTGCATGTACTAGAGATTAGTCAAATTTGATATGGATTTTTTCGATAATAACCAACATATTGAATTCATAATTTTGCAATTTTAATTGAATAAACTACCATGATAAATGTTTTTTTTTTCCTTAGTCATGTATTAGATTAATATAGACAATCTATATTAATCTAATATCATGCACATTAACTTTTACTATAACCATTTTCACTAATCTATGAATTTTTCTATAGATGAACATGTTTTTGTATATTGAGAGGTTGGTTCCTCATGGATTTGGCACTCGGGTGTTGTGAGCTGAGCTGACTCATTGGAACCTTATGAACGAAGATTAATCTTGACAACATTGAAATTTTGACAAAAAATTGTCTTTCAGTTACTTCATCAATTAAAGTAGTATTAAACAGTCCCGCTAATATTATCAATTATTTCATTGGTACTTTAATTTGAATATAGAAATCACTAAAATCACTTATCAAATTGTCTGTTAGAATATGTCAAAACTTTAATCCGCTTGACCAAATAAATCTATAGTTTTACCACTACGTGGCCAGTTTAAATTACGCAAAAAAACACCACCATAGATCTGTCAGAATCTTTCATAAACAATATATCTGCAGAGATTCGTCGTTATCATTTATATTAATAATGTAAAGTATCTTTAAATGTTTGAGGCTACCACATATACCGGTTGTGCGTGACACAATTACATTGCTGATATTTTCTCTCACAAATTATGTTTACTGATACAAAACGTAAGAAACGTATCATAGAATAGAATATAAATAAAAATTAAAATATTATCTGACAGAACATAATAAATTGTCGAGAAAATTAATAATAATAAAATTAATATGTGCTGTTAGATAGCCGGCAAAGGGCTTTTGCCACCCACATTAAGCGGCGAAGTCATGTCAACACGTTTTACTGTTAATTTTGTTATATATAAATTCTTAAGGAAGTAATCGTAATTAAATCTGTGCTAAGCTATGATTAAGTCTGGTATATTGATGGGTGATTATTAGTTTATGTGATGACACACGAATATTATTATTATATAGATAAATATAATTCTATGAAACATATAATTGAGAATGAAACTTATGGTCATGTGGCTGAGACAGCTAAGAATGTCTTCTTAGTTTTGGGTAAGAATGTATTTTTATCCAAAAGCACGGATCGTACTATACACTTTGTACATTACCCACCTAAATCACTTGTCTATTTCTCTCTATGTCCCCACATAATTCTTCTCTCTCTTTTTTTTTTTTTACTATCATCTCAAATAAAACCATTATGTTTCAAATTTCGATTACAGACTGTGGCATAAAATACTATGTTAAAAAATAGCAATACATAAATGATTGATGGTACCGCTAAATTTTACCGTTATATGATTGGTAACTATACTAGCGATATCGTTCACCGTTTACCTTCTCCGTAAAGGATTACTAATCACACCCAACAATTCTGGTGAATTTGTTTGTACCATTGGATTTTTTTAGAGACAATATATGAGATATGTAAAGGCTCATAGGCCTTGGGAAATTTCACACTAGCAATTTTTCTAGAAAATCTCAGATATTTTATGACGTTGAATCTAAGATACGAAACTAAGGTGTTGTTTGATTTTGTACTAAGTTTGGATGCTCAATTATAGGTCCATCTATAGGTCCATCAAATATTTGAAAGAAAAAAAAGAATATACGAATCGACCCATTACTAATTTGGCCCATCAAATTCAAATGGTTAACCCAATCCATTTGGTTAATAGTTCGGAGTTCGGACCGTACCGGTCTACCGGATAATCCATTTTTTACACGTGAATGAAATATGTAACAGCATATTTTATTTCTGCAACATTTTATCTCTATCAATCAAACTTTAACGCCCGATTGTTATAACATGGGAACACAAAATGCAAAAGTATTCCCAAAACCCAAACAGTGTATCCATAATCTTACTACAACGACATTAGCCAATTAGGCACTACAGTACAGAGACATCAAAGATTATTTGAACATTTCGTACAAAAGATGTAGATTCCGATACTATTCAAATTTTATATAGACACTGGAGGAGCATAAAGCCGATATTTTTATGGTCATTTTCCAATTTAACAATAATCAAAAAGATAAACAGTAACCAAAAGCACTTTTTCCTTCATGGCAACGTAACAGTAGTAAAAATGTCAGTCAAATTTCTCCCAATCTTGAGTTACATTGGCTGAAGGCGAAGCTGGCGGAGGAGGGTTCAAGCTTCCCACTCCGTTACCGAATGATTCCCACTCGGTGCTTACTGCTGCGGCTTTGCTCTGATCCACAAACGGATTTGAACATCTTGCCTTCAACTTATCCACAATCTCCTGCAAGTTTTGGACTCTACGTACCTGCCAACACAAAACCCAATCATTCTTCAGTCTATGATTAATTTAGACTGAAGATAGAAGAAAGATCACAAGATGATTCAGAGGAGCACAATCCCAAATCTTAAGAAAACTAAATGTATCTTAACCAAAGTCTCTACATTTACAACTATATGAAACAAATACGATATATGAAATCTTTACCAAAGTCTACATTTAGATCGTTGCAACTCATCTCAGCTTATAAAAGTAGTATAATTCTGAACACTCATACATCTACCAGCTCTATTAACACTCTTATCGTCTAAACAAGTTTATTATGCACGCAGATGAACAAAGTAATAAACTAAAAACTAACCTCTGCCTTACGCTGTACTTTAGCTTCCCCTTCAGCCTCAATACCATCCAATTTGAGCAACTGCCTCATGAGAAGCTCCACAGTCATGTCAAACTCCCGCACCGCAACTTTCGTCCCTCCATTCACAGCAACCTCTAAAGCAACGACCTAATTTCAAAATAATAAACAAAACTACCTTAAGTACAATCCTTCCTACCTTTCCTACAGTAACAAAAACCAAAAGATGTAGAACTCACCCTATCTGAGAGATTATCGACCTCTCCTGTAACCGCAACAAGTGCAGCAATAGCTTTTGCCATCTCTTTGGTTACCACCACAGGAGGCTGCTGTTCAACTTGTTCCACTCTCTTATTCGTATCCTCAACGAGAACAAGCTTAGACGCATCCTTAACACCAGCAGCTTGCAATTGTTCAGCATCATCTCTCTCAACTCCCCTGAACAAGATGTTCAATTCACTAGCTTCCAACCCAGTTTTCTGAACAAGGGCTTTCTTCACATCACCTATATATCACATTCCAGCTTAAACATATCAATCTTAACTAGATTAACACAACTTCAACAACTAGATTAAGCAAGGAAAATTTCATAAACTCCATAATGAATCACGCAAAATTCTCTGAGGCTTCGATAATGTACACTAAGGAAAAATCAGAAACGGATCGGGAAATGAGCTGAGCGTTTTGTTACCGAAAGTGGCGTGAGCAGAAATATGAAGATCGTGGTGGGATGAGCCATGAGAAACAGTGATTCTGATGGTTTGAGAAAAAGCGGCGGAAGCAGAGTCGGGATCCTGGAGAGGTTGGTCGGAGGAAGCGGTGTCGTCTCTTCGTTGGACGAGCATACCACCAGGTCTCACCTCCCATTCCGATTCGTCGGTTGAATTATACATCATCGTTTTCGACAAGGAATCGGAGTATGAGAATGGGATAAAACCCTTTGGAGCAACAAATTAGGGTTTTTTGACGACGGATGATGATTCACGCCTCCTCAAGCGGCCATACAAATTCTCCTGATACACACACGGGTTTTCAATTTTTATTATTTTCCTTTTCTTTGGTAATTAGAATTTCTTACGATTTGGGTGTCAACAAATATATATCTTACTAACAATAATTTTTCATTTTTATACATAACAGATATTTTTGGTATTTCACATATGATGATTCTTCACATAAATTGTGAAACGTCAACTTTTCTGTTAGTTAACGACTGGTTTTAGATCCAACCAACCGGCCCTGAATGGAATGAGTTGTGCACGTAACACTCATATTGGCAGGATTTGAACAGGCCTAATTGCAGACAGGACTGTGCCCGGATCAGGTCCCCAACCAAAAGGAATTTATAGGCCTAGAATTTTCTTGATTGAACAAAAAAAACAAAAACTATCGAAGAGGAGTATGGCCTCAATCAGAATTTAGTTAAGTAGAAACAGAGCAGCAAGTAGAGTAATGGTGATTTGTCCATAGCAATCGAACATGGTAGCGACAAATATCTCGTTCCCTACTTGATAGTCAGTTTTTGATGACTGAATCATATACCACTCGTTCCATACTTGCTATGCACTGAAAGACTGATGCATATATAAAGATGCAGTTAAAAAATGCGAAAGCGATAAGAGGAACAATTTATACTACAGCTATACTAGTAGTTGGTTATCTAGCACCAAGCCCAAGAGAAGTGCCAAAAAAGAAAGCCAATGCCATGATTCTAAGGCTAAAAACTTTGAAAATGAAAATTCTAGAGGCAAATAGAGGCATCCAAAAACGACTCAGAAAGTACAAACTTGAAATCTCTAGGGCCAGAATTGCCTGAACGTAAGATGCATAAAAATGAATGCGTAACCATTTTCGAGATTGTCAACAAGCTCGACACATATTTATAGAACAACGAAGAAAGATCTTGGAACATCCAGAACAACATACAGGAAGTATAAGACCACACAAGCTACTACTTTGGTGATACGTATACAATTATATACCCACGACCTGGTCAAGCTGATAAGCTTCACTAGATCAATCTAATCTGTGTGCAGCAGAGAAACAACAACAAACAAAACATAGCTTCACTACACAAATCTAATCTCTGTGCAGAATTAACAACAAACAAAACATCCAAAACACACAAGAAACGAAGCAGCAAATTTGATCCCTCGTCAAAGTGTTTCTTTATTTGATCAACATAACAAGAAAGTAGATTAGCTTATAGCTTTGTGGGATCAAACAAAGCTATTGTATAGTGTGTATCATCACATTTCTCCTCCTAATTCTCAAATAGACTCAAAATCAAATCTCTGTTTTCCCGGAATAAACCATTCCAATCTTCCTACTCTTTTTCCAGAAACTATAATCAAACATATCATTATAAGATGAACAATAATACCCACCAAAAGCTCGAACTTGGGGAAAAATTCGATAAACTTAAAAAAGAATGAAGTTTATACCAAACTAAGAAGCCACTACTTCAGCAGCTTGTTCAGTCGCCACCGCGGCCGCTTCAATAATCTTCTTATTCTTCTCAATCGCCGCCGCAACTTCCTGTGGCATATACTTCTCATCATGCTTAGCCAAAACTTCCGTCGCCGAGAAGAAACAATCGAGATTCCTAGCTTTCTGCGAAACAGGTTTTGTAGAAACTTCCTTCCTCACTTCATCCGTATACGGCTTAATGAATCCTTCAACCACAACTGAGTGACCTTCCCTAAACAGATCCGGCAAAGATCCTTTGTATCTAACCAAAATATCAGTGATCAGATCGGTGATCACAAACTCCATCTCCTGTGACGCCGCCGGCTGCGCAACGCTACCTTCAAGAACCAAACCACCGAGTCTGAATTTGTTTTTGGTTGGATTCTCTGCGAATTTCTCCATAGCGTCTGATGGCGTTAGGTAGAAGACGAGCTGATCCTGGAATTGGTTGAGGACGATAACTACGAATCCGGCGATGCAGCTGAAGGTTAGAGCGTAGGTCCACAAACGGCGATTCTGCATCTGACGCGCTTTGGCTCCGATGTCGATCTTCTTAGGACGCGTTGGACCACGACGAGCGATGGAGAGAGATCGGAGGAAGGTTAAGGATGATAATCGCGATGGATCTGGTGAAGCGGTGGTCAATGAATAAAAAATCGGGGAAGGAGATTCGAATGATGATGAGATTTGAGGATTTCTTTGAATAGATCGTAGGATTTGAGAACTTCGACGGAACAACAATCTAGCCGCCATTTTTTCTGATTTTTCCTCGAGAATTTTCTCGTGGGAATCAATCAAATTCCGGAGAAAGTGAGAAGAGGTTTATGGGGTTTTCTGGAAAAATGAGGAAGAAGCCACAACCCACAAGCCGCCCCACTGAACTATGGACCACGTCAAGAACCTCTGTATAGGTTAGAGGGTTTAATCACAAAGCTAAGTTTTTTTCTTCTGTCACAAAGTTTTCCAAAGATGCAAATGCAAGTGTCCAAAAATTTTCTCTTCTGTGGGATCAAATCCTTACCGCGTAAACACACATTCAAAGAGTAAGTTCGCTGGTAACACAAACAGAATTGCACTTGAGCTATGTACAAGATCAGTATGCTGACTTTTTTGGTTAAAAGACTACCAATAAACTACTTTTTTGGTTAAAAGACTACCAATAAACTACTTTTTTGGTTAAAAGACTACCAATAAACTATGTTTAGAAACCACCCAGTATTTTTGATTCGAGAATGAGAAACGATGATGAAAAGTGTTTTGTGCAAAAAAATGCACAAAGGTGATAAACTCTTTTTTGTTGTTTTTTTTTTGTTTAAGAAGAGACTCTCTTGAAACCCAAACATACAAAGAAAGAGGTACCTCAAGTTTCAAAAATTCTTTAAAAGAAACAAAGACAAATCTTCCTACTCATTCTTGAGCATTACTACTTGCGTCCATTGGCTCAGCCTCTGTTGAAGCCTCTCCTTTCTCTCCTGCCTTCTTCGCTGCTAAACACCAAATTGAATCTTTTTAATCAACATGTGGATCGCATTATATAAGGTAAAAGTCTGGAAATTTATTTCTAAGTTCTTACCTTTCTTCTTCTTTCCACCACCCTTCTTCTTCTTGATACCCAAGGCTAACCACCCTTGGATCTCAGGGTCTTCACTAATCTTAGTACCAAGCTCCTGAAGTGTATGTGAAGTGATCCTATCCGATCCATTTGGCATCAGCAAAACTGTGAACTTAATTTGGGCAACAAAATCCCCTGAAAAATAACATGAGTCCTGATGTCAAGATTCAGTTCTATATATTAAAAAAAAAAACTTCATCCTCCTTACCAGGCTTCTCGTAAAGAACAGGATATGGTTGCAAATGACCATGGTTCACACACTCCACAAGACCAAGACGAGCCCTTTTCTCCTCCAGTGACCTGTATTGATAGTACTCTCAGGAACCGTTAGTAAGTGAGATAATATTTTTAAGAAAATAAAATGCTAAAGAGGGTATAAAAGACACCTTGCAGTGAATGGCATACGGGGGAAGTTCTGTTTAATTTCGCTGATTATGAATCTGGAGGCCTTCATCTTCAACTGATAGTTAACACTCTCATCTTTCTTGTAAATAGTTGTTTGCTTCTCGTCTAATAGCTTTGGCTGCAAAGTCAAAGATTGTGAGAACAATGGCAATAGATAAAGGTTCACCAATAGTGATCAAGATACAATAAACAAAAGCAATTACCTTGCCATCACCAGTGCTTGCCACAATATCTATTGCATAGACTTCATTCTCTTCAAATTCCACTTCGTCAACAGTTGTTTCAGGGCTCGATACACTTAGCACAACCTTGTTTCCATCTATCACATGCTGCTTCATCTGGTGGGAAAGAACCCCTTCAACAATTTTGCAGTCATAAGCTCTAGCCACCTTCTGAATGGCTTCAGTTACTTCAGTGTTCTGCCATAAGAAAAACAGAATATCAATGTCTTAATTGCAATATGTTGTATGATTAAACAAGAAACTACAAACTCATAGCAAGAAACTTTATTTAAAAAAAATTCCCACATCAAAGTAGCTATGGCCTCACTTGGAAGTGAATCCATAGCAATTACAGCCTTTATCCAGAAATCTCTTCCCACAACAATTTACATGTTAAATCCGTTAAAAAATAAGCAAACCATTCAGCATCGTGCAAGACCAAGAGAGGCACAACTTAGACAAAGTTTCATCGTCTCATAGTAAATCCAATGAGGGATCATACTAAAGTTCAGAAAGAAAAAAATCCCATCAGAGTAACTATGACAAAAAAGCATCAGATGGATAATAATCCATAGCCATTTATAAGTGTTCATCATCTGGGCTTTACAAAACCTTGACAATCATTCAAGAACCAAATAAACCAAAAGCCTATACTTTCAACTTTCATGTAAAAATAGTACTAGGGATACCTTCTTTCCAGGACGTACGAGCCTCAAAGCAACGTCAGCTGCAGTATTAGCGGCACGAATAACATCAGCTTTACGCCCAGTAACAGGCCCTTCTTGAAGAACATGTGTGTGACCAACAAGAGCAATGAACCCATCAATATGGCATCCCATATCACTGCGATTGAAACGCAAAACAGCATCAGTAATAACACAGGTAAATCAAACGGACACATCTAAAAAAGGGTATTACTTGAAGACAACTTACATTTTAACCATATCACCATCTTCCAACACAGACTCATCACTGGCAAGCGGTGAGAAATGACCAACAGTGTTGTTCACAGAAATGCATGTAGGGAAAGCAACACCTCTCTCAATCTTCTTCTTAGCATTCTTGTACATGCTCGCTGTTTGCCTTTTATTCAAAAAACAGAAGAAAGAACGAACACATAAATATCTAAAAGCAATCAAGAAAGCGAAATCTACATCAAGAACAAATCTGAGAACAAAGAGATCAAAATCCTCACTCTTTGATAAAAGCATCTCCTTTCTCGCAGATATCAACAATCTTAGCTTTTGGTTTGCATTCAGCTAAAACAACCTGCAACGCCTCTGCAATTCAAAACCCAACAGAAATCGATAAAGCTACACCGTGAAAACCCTAAATCCAAATCGTACTTAAAATCAAAAGAAGAAAAGAGAAAGAGAGGGTATTACTGTTAACGATCTCAGCGGCGGTCTTGTACTTGGTAACGACTTCAGGAGAGGTAAGACTCAGTTCCTGCTCGTCTCTCTCATCGTCCGAACTCATCTCTGATAACTCTCGACGATCGAAACAGGGGAAACAAAATGTTAGGGTTTAAGGAGGAGCGATTGGGGGAAAATGGTGGAGAAGGAGAGAACTGAAAGTGTTGGCTCAAATAAAGGTGCTAGGGTTTTCGCTTTGTGTACTCTCTTCTTAAACGGCACCGTTTTGGATTAATCCCTTAAACGGCACCGTTTTGGATTAATCCCTTATTTATGCGTTTTCCAGTTACGCGTTACTCATATACTCAACATGGGCCGAAGGAAAGCTGTTTCAGATAAGCCCACGTCAGGTGGCTCTCATTAGTCATTATACGTTGCAAATTATTTATTCTTCAAGACAATAAATTCATATAATTCGATATTAAATATTTATTTAATTTTTTGTGTTAAGAAAATCGTTTATGGTAAGGATATATTCATATAATTCGAATAGTGATGTTTAAAGTTTTTTTTTTCTACGTTCATTTTGTTTTTGATTAATCTAACATTACCTTAAAAAAAATTAACGACGGCTATATCTATATATAACAATATTTGAGAAGTGTTTTTGCTGACGTGTCGGACTCTCGGCTCTTGTTGAGTCCTTGATTTTACGTAATTACTTAAATACCTTCTATTAAATCAAGTCGAATATCAACTAATGTTCAATTACATAAGTGAATATTTGATATAATTTACATTTTATAAAATTAATAAAATTCGTAAACACGAAAAAATAAGAAAACCTAAAAAAAAATGGATCGATTGTAACATTTTTTTAAATTAATAATATTCGTAAACACGAAAAAATAAGAATACCTAAAAAAAATGGATCGATTGTAATTTACGTACCAATTTAGAAGATGTTCATCGTACCTCATCATCATGTTCTTCGTCGCATGTAAACTTTTTAATATACATACCAGACTTGAAAACCTAAAATATAGCATATAACCAGAGAGAATCGACAATTTAGTGATAGAACATCATCTTTTGATCGAATCTCACATGATGGAAAGACGACTCTTAATTAATATCTTGTCCATGCCAAGTCTTCAAACCATCATATTGAATTATTGATGCTATCCTGCACCATAGAGTTCAAGCTAATAAAAGAGGGTGTTCTTTAAAATTACCTTGAATTATCTGATTGGATCATGCACGAATAATGAATATAGACTCGATGAAAGTGTATTAACCTCCATTGATCGTAATGAAAAACGTGGGATTTCGTAGAAGGAGACGGAAAATGGTCGTGTGTCTTCCTTTTTTTTTCTTTTTTTTTTCGTTTTGTTTTCCGTTTTTTTTTTGTTTTTTTCTTTCTTTCCCAACCAATCGTTTGTGATAATTATGAGTTAAAAATTAAATTTCCTTTTTTGATAAGTAGATATTGGCAAAAAATATCAAAACAATCCTACGTATATTCTTTAAATCTGATTCATATCTCTAATAAAATTTTATTTTTTAAATATTTTATGTCGATAATGACGGAAAATCTAAACAAATGTAAGATATAGTAGTAAATCTAAATCGTTATGTTATTATTCCATCTTTATCTTAAAATAAAATGAAACGTTACTTAAAATTAATATGTATAATATTGAATAAGACAATTTTAAATTATTAATTTTTATTAATTTTTATAATTTTACAAGGTATTTATAAGGTTTTACAATGTATTTTAAAAGGTTTTGCAACGTATTTACAAGGTATTTATAAGATATTATAAGATTTTACAAGCTATTTTATAAGGTTTTTACAAGTTATAAGGTTTTACAAGGTTTTTATAAGGTTTTACAAGTTATAAATACCTTATAAAACCTTAAAAGTACCTTGTAAAACCTTTTAAAATACATTGTAAAACCTTACAAAACACTTGTAAATACCTTGTAAAAAACCTTTAAAATACCTTGTAAATTTTTCCCGCCAAAAATTTTCCCGCCAAAAAAATTTCGCAAAAAAAATTGTGGAATCACTTTTCTCGCAAAAAAAATTTTTTGGCGGGAAAAATTTTTACGGGAAAATTTTACAAGGTTTTTTAAAGGTTTTTACAAGTGTTTTGGCGGGAAAATTGCGGGATCACTTTTCCCGCCAAAAAATATTTTGTATTTTGTGGACCTAATTTTGTTTCAAATAAGGGTAAAATGGTCATTAAAAATTAAAAGAGGGCAAACTTAAAAATGGACTCTCAAAGGGGGTATTTTTGAAAAGGAGCATTTTTAACAATTTCTCAAAAAAAAAAGGAACAACGAAGTACCAGTTAGGAAGCTTTAATTGAATTCATCGTGTTCTTCGTCGTGTGAATATAATTCTTCTAAACGAAGGCAAAACTTGAAATCCTAACATAAAGCATATATTCATAGCAATAACAGAGATC